CCGTTCTCGACTCGTCTAAATGAAATTTCCCCCTCCCATGCGAAGCGCGGAATTTTTGGCGTTTCATCAAAATATAGAGAAAGGAAGACGATTCGTCGTATCGTTGTTGACTCTTAATCCTTGTTTGATTTTGTTTACCTGAAAATGTGAACCTCTGACTTCTTTAGCTGATATTATAGGAAAGTGAAACTTCGAGAAAATACAAGTAATGTAGTTGTAGTCACTCTCGAAGTCGTCACAGCGGATAAAAAGTCACAATTCGTTAGGAAAAAAACTTGTCGGCCGACCGACAATATACATCTCACCGACTTCAAACATTGATATAGTACACGAGGATCGAGCAAGAATACCGACACAGCTGACCCGACACAGCAAAATATTTACCCGTGTCTTTCTTGCTCCCTCGACGAGACGACTCCACCCAACAACCCCCTCTCTCTTTTACTCCCACTTCTCCTCTATCAGGCTCTTACTCCCCTCTCTCTCCTCTATTTCATACCCTTTTTCTTTCGTTTCCTTTTTCTTCTTTTTTTTCCTTTTTTTTTTCTTTCTTTCTTTTTCTCTCTTTTTCTTTTTTTCCTTCTTTCTTCTCTTTTCTTTCCTTTCATTTCCTTTCTTTCCTTTCTTTTCCTTTCTTTCTTTTCTTTTCATTTTCTTTTTTTTCTTTTCTTTCCCTTTCCCTCTCTTTTTTCCCCTCCCCCTTTTCTCTTTTTTCCCGACGGCAGCGCAATTTGACCGACAATATCCTGACAGGTGGGGGGTGTCGCACCCCACACTTGCCCTTTGGAGACACCCCTGATGACATTGATAACAAAAATACGATTCTTCTTAAAGGAAACCTAAACCCAAAGAATAAGTGTAGGTATTCTGAAAAATGAGATGTATTCATGCCCTTTGATGTTCAATATTCCTTACGAAAATGTACAAGTTACATATAAATGAAGATATTCTGCGCATGATGTGATGGCTTTCAGCATAACATGGGCGCAGCCATTTTCTTGAAAATGTGACGTACCTGTTGAAGTTGTACATGTATCATGCACCAAGCTTTAGTTGGAAAGAATTTTTATTTCAATAACGAAGCCTTTACTTTTCGATGAACAAAAATAATAACTGAGATGATAGAAATAATATTAGGTGAAAAATAAATAACAGGGGCACAATTGTAACAAAATTAATTTATAAATACTACACTATAGCAGTTGACAAATCCATTTTATTTATGAGAAATCTTCACCCCGGAAGAGCACTAGCTTATTTATGCAATTTGCATTCTGGCAATTGTAGTACAAAGGATAATAGCAGGTGAATGAAATGCTTCATCACTACACACGTCTGGGAAAGAAGCATCCATAAATTGGAATGCATTTATTTGATAAACGACTTCGAATAGTACGTTACATTATCAAGAAAATGGCGATGCACATGTCGTGCTGAAAAACTGTACTTTATTTTTGCTTTATACCTCTATCATACACTTTGGTGGGGAATCTTGTAGATTTATGGGCAATAATTTAATAAATCTCTCAGAAAAAGTAGAATTATTACTTGGGGTTTGGTTTCCTTTAACATTATCTTATGGTTTGCTCAATAAAAAATTTATAAGGTGAATGTTTTAAATAATTTGAAATGCAAACAGTTTAATTTAGTTATTATGTAATTTCTAAAATTTAAAAGAGATCTAAAGGAGAACTTGAAATACAACGTAAACTTAGACTTTCATGTAAAAAAAAAGATATAACGACTGTTGCCTAAGCGATTTAAAACGAAAGTATAGGCCCAATTTGAAAAAGACACAAATATTTTTTTATTTTTTGGGAAATCTAGAATTGCGATTATTTCTTTCTTTTTTTAATTTGTCTCTCTCTCTTTTTTTCTTCTTGCGATTTATGTAATTTTTCTGTTTGGGTCTATCACTTCTTCTTTCACTACTACATGGATTCACTCAGACGTGTACGCAGGGGGGGGGGGGGGGTTAAGGGGTTAATATTGGTCGGCGCGATTTTCGAATTTCCGGGAAAAAAATTAGTGCTCCCCTCCCCAGGGGATCCAGGGGGCGAGCGGGCCTTGCCCCCCCCCCCCCACCCCCGAAAAGAGAGAGAGAGAGAGAGAGAGAGAGAGAGAGAGAGAGAGAGAGAAGGAAAAGAAGGGAAAGAGAAGGGGAAAGAAAGAAGAGAAAGAAAAAAAGAAAAGGGTGAAAAGAAGGTGAGAACAATTGCGGTTTCTTTTTTCTGTTTTCTTTTCAATTTCATTTTATTGTTCATATACAACACATTGATACATTCAGGTTCAGGTAATTTAGTGTAGACACAAAGGAAATGCATCAAATGAAGTTATATACTTGCCTTTGACTAGTTCACGACAAACCATTCACTTATAAAACATTTTAATTACTATCATAGTATAATACCACGTAATTGCTATTGGTGATTTGTGTACGACACATACGGAGGACTTAATATAGAATTATAAAGTCAAATTAAAAATATAAAAGTATTTGCATATACAGCAAACATTGACGGAGCACAGAGTGCAAAATGCTTGAATGTTTTCAAACAACCTTAACCAGGATATATCACATGTGTTTATTGAAAGTACCAGTATCTTTTCAGATCACGGAAATAAGGAGGAATAAGATATTTATAACTTTGGATATTCATTAGTTCATTTACCAGCTGCTGTTTTCACCTTGTACATACAGCAAGCAGATGGTTTTTAGTGGTGTATCGAACTCTGTTTAATGTATTTATTTAATGAATTCCGTTTTATTACAATGGTTATTGTTGAGTGGTTCAGTTTTATTGCATCAGTAGATCTGCATTATATTAACGCTTTACTTGAAAACCTGTATAAATAAGCGTAAATGATACTTAAATACAATATCATAAATAACAGGGACATTGGTTTCAGATCAAATACATGTGACGTGAAAATGATGATTATAGAAAGCATGTAAAATTATTTGTTGGAGAATGTAAATTTATGTAATACTGTAACACTCCATCCCATCACATGAAGCTTTCCTTCTTTCACATTTCTGCCCCCCCCCCCCCCTGTTAACGTTAATGTAGAGTACAGCCCTTGGCCTTAGGCCTAATTTAGGTCGTAACTGTTACTGTTTGAAAATCTAAAGTAGAATTAGACGGTTTTCACGGTTAGACCAAGTAATTGAGAAAAAAAAGTTTACCAGTCACTCAGACCGGGTCAAGCAATCTTCTAGATCCATTATTAGGGTCTAACGTTAGTAAATATAAGGAAGATGCAGGCGCAGATCCAGGGGGCGAGCGCCCCCCCCCCCCCCTCCTCCGCAAAAGAGAAAGAGAGAGAGAGAGAGAGAGAGAGAGAAGGAAAAGAAGAAAGAATGGAAAGGGAAAGAGGAGAGAAAGGGAAAGAAAGAAATAGGAAGAAAAGGGGGACGAAGGAGATCGGGGGGCGCGAAAGGGCCTTGCCTCCCCCAATCAAAAAAATTAGAGAGAAGGAAGGAAATGGAAAGAAAAAGGAAAAGAGGAGATAAAAGGAAGGAAAAGTGAGGAAGAAGAAAAGAAAAGAAGGGGGATATCAGTTGCAATTTTCCTGCCAACAATACAATGCTGAAATGACATAATTTTCCGAGATTTTTAGTATATTATACTTTTTTATGCGTTTGTTGTAAAATGACAAATTCCTAAATTTACAGCCAGGCAAGAAATATGCTTCTTGAGATGACTACATGTCAGGGCCTGCGGAACGGCGGGGATCGGGAGCCTCGAGCTTCCCCCACCCCCTCCCCCCCCCCCCCCCCCCCCCCCCCCCCCCCCCCCCACCCCCCACTTTATTTGAAAAAGTATAAATAGAAAGAAAGAGAGCAAGAAAGAAAACATTATTAATTGCCAGCAGTGTCACAACCAAATAAGTTATCAAAAAATGCTCATCTAATCGTAATTAAACGTCTAAAACCCCTGAGCTTCCGGGGGTCCGCACGCTGGACCTCACGTCAATCAGTGTCCTGCCGGTGTCACAAATAAGGTATAAAAATATGTTCATCAGACCGTAATCAAATCCCTAAAAACCCAGAGCTTCCGGGGGCTCCGCCCGCTTGACCTCACGCCAAGCAGTGGCCTGTCACAAATAAGGTATTGACATATATGCCTAAAACCCCTGAGCTTCCGGTGGCTCCGCACTCTCGACCCTACCAGGGGCCCTAAGGCAAGCCCCTGAATGCTTATCTGACCGTAAATTAATGCCTTAAACCCCTGAGTTTCTGGGGGCGGACAAGGTATCAAAATATGTTCCGCAGGCGCGTAGCCAGGGGGCGGTGGGGGAGGGGAAAAATTGCCCCTCCCTGCACCCCCCCCCCCCCATTACGTCAATGCTGGTCACCACTACTTACCAATATTTGGCTTGCATAATTTCAAATTTGCCCCCCCCCCCAAGAAATCCTGGATCCGCGCCTGGGTATACAAATATTTTCTTTCGTAATCCAAAAATTGCGATTCTTTCTTTCTCTCTTGAATTTTTCTCTTTTTCTTGTTTTGTTTTTTCTTTGTTTGAAAACTTGTTTCTGTTTTCTTGCGATTTATTTTTTTCTGTTCAGATCTATAACTTCTTCTAACATTAGTTCATGGATTCACTATGAGTTTGTTTTTTCCTGTTTCTTTCTTCCTTTATTTCTTTTTCACCTTTCATCATTTTGCCAAATTATCTTTTTGTCTCAGAACTGCAGCGTTGCTGCGGATGAAGGTGTGTTGCATTCAGTGTTTCTTATTGGTCGAAATGAATAGCCGTCGTCAAATTTTGTCTAGTCGCTAAGGTTTATTTTTGTTTGAATCATTATAAAATACTAAAAATGTGATGACAAATGCAACAGATGAAGGGCCTATTTTTGTTTTAGATATACTATTTGATTTACAGAATTCAATTTCGATCTATATTCATATTCATAATGAAAATAATGTAATTTTGACATTAATTGTATTCACAAGCAATTATTGAAGTCGTTTGAAATGAAGGCTATTGATCATAAGACGTCATTGATTAGATTGCGTAAAAAGAAAACCTACTTCGTCAGAGTGATCATATCTACGACTGAATAATAGAAATAATGGCCGTCCGGAGAATTTTAACATCCGATTTACTGAGGAAACTAGTTCAACCAGTTGTTTTTTCACCATGTAGATCCTTAGGAACGCTACCAGCAACTGAATGTATCCTTTATTTATAAACAAAGATCTCTGATGTAATAGCGGTTTTATAATACATTGTACCACATACTTATATTGTTGTCACGGTACGGTATCTGATCGCGCGCCGTATGTTGTGTGCTAAAAATAAAATCCCCTCATAGAGTAGATGCTGCGGTTTGCGGCATGGAATAGACCACAGAAAAAAATACATGCAAATCAATAATATGCGATTGAAACCTACCGTGGCTTCCCCGGTAGGTTCTGCTTTGCCGAAAACGTCTGTAGCAGATGCTCCGATCGGTACGGAGTATCCGTCAGCGTTGCTAGGCACATTCATGGGGCACTAGAGGGCGCTTTGGGCGCGTACGAAAATCTGAATGGCCTTGCTGCGGTGGGTCGGCAATAATCAGCCCAAAACTTGGATATGGGAGGGTGGAAGGATATATCTTTTTTATAATGTTATCTGGTCTTACCCTCAACCATCCTATGTTTAATCTATGTAGAAATAACATGCGAGTACGATAAGAGAAACATCGGGCCCATTACTGATGCAACTTTTAAAATATTAGCCTAGAAATGACCACCAAACGGAAAAAATTGACATTTTTTCCCGACAAATCTTCATAAAATCTGATTTATAAACAAGTCACATCTAGGTACACTAATACAAATACGATTTTCTGAAAATTCAGGTATTATTTTTTAAGTTTCTTTCAAGTATATTTCTGCGCATTGCAGCGCCAATGTTCTTCACTGCTTCAAAATCACCCCTGAAATTTTTTTTTGCAACGAATTTGTTACGAGGTCCGCGAGTGTTCCCCGTTCCTTGCGTGTTGAAAGTTTGGTAATACATAGTTTACATTGACTCGCGCACGAAAAAATGGTCGAAAACAAAATGTCAAATGAAGAAATAAACAAGCTTTTGTATAGTTATAAGAGTTCTATCGAGGTTTCTTTGTCGATTTAATTTATTATATAGTCTCAATTAGAATTCAGAATTATCTCACTGAAAAGTTAAGAAACCGACGATGTTCTCGATCGTAGTTATTTTCATTTTGGCAGCAGCCGATCTAGCGTTGTTTGGGCAAAAAGCTAGGCCGCTGCCTTCCCATCGCAAACCTTTCCGAGTCCCGCTAAAATGGCGCGCTGCGGAGCTCCGAAGCTGCGTTGGTATCGCTGCAAACTCTCTGCCGGCTAGCTCCCCACGACGGACCATTCGCGGTATGGCGAGAGTGTGTGTGTGAGTTACGATTTTGGATTCGAGAACGCACGTAATGCAACCGTGCGCGTCATATTCAGCTGTCGAAAGTCTACGACCAATTTTACATGTACGATTTTTAGTACAGATACTTGGTCAGTTTTCTTCTTATATCTTTGGTTTTACAACATTTAAAAATATAATTTCTTCAAATTTGCTCCTGACTCGGTTCAGACTAATTGTGTGATGTGTTTTCAAGTCAATTTTTTGAATATATTTTTTTGCATGAATTTGCCTAGCGTTGCCGGAAATCTACGACACCAGTCGGCGATGAAAATTCCAGCAGGTGCTAACTTTTAAGTTAAGAGATCGAGTCATGCCTAGATCAATATTGCAGCTCTCTTTGTCTGATTGGAGGTGAAATTTGATGTTGTTGTGGAAGTATGATGGCTGTGGTCTGTTTCCTATCGCAGAAATTTTGATTGTGCCACCTCGCCGCAGGGCTAGTTTCATGGGGAGGCCGCAAACCGAGTCGTAATTGCGTGCCTGCCTCGTGTGTATTGTCAATACACACATAACATGCAGGCTTGTGTACGATGGTATGTGTGCTGATGTGTGTACCCGCTATGACCTGCTAGTTTCTAGGAGTTTGTACCCCGTTCCTCCCTAGTTGGGATGATCTATTTAAGGAAAAGGTGAAATTGTTTAAAACTTGACAAAATTACCGTAACAACAGATAAACATGAGAGTTTGGGTTACCCGTAGTAATTTGGTACATGCTTTGATTGTGACGTTGCGCATAAAGCTTTGTGACGCAATGCGTGCCAGCCATGCCGCCCGCCGGGAAATGCATGGCCGCACTCAGGGCAACTCGAAGCATTTCGAAAGTGGACAATGCTGACCACGCGGTGGGTCAGTTAGGTTATTTGTGCCTTCTATTTAATGAGGAAGTATATGGACTCTACATTGAGGGTATTGCAGTATGCTGTGAGTATTTGCATAAAAATAAAATCGGCAGTTCCCGCGGATCGGCCGCAGACCGGAGCCTCTACTCTAGATCTAGAGCCTAGGCAAATTCATACCAAAAAAAATATTCACAAAATTGACTTGAAAACACATCAGACAATTAGTATGAACCACGTCAGCAGCTAATTTAAAGAAATTATCTTTTTAATTGTTGTAGAGAAAGACCGCCAAACTTCGGACACTTAAGACATAACGGGGGAAAACATTAAATTCTTTTTTAATTATTGAAAGACCAAATATACTATTATTGTGCAAATACTGTTTATGTTTGTCATGTAAAAGAAAATTAGCAAAGGAAATGGAAAACTAGAATTATTTAATTACCCGCCGAACCTTTTTTCATTCCAAACTTCGGACGTTCATGTGAATTCCAGACAACTCGCCACAAAGACAACCCGCCCCAAAACAACTCGCCACAATACCCTGGACAACTCGCCCATGGCGAATTGTCCAGGGTATTGTGGCGAGATGTCCAGGGTATTGTGGCGAGGCGAGTTGTCTGGACCCTGTTTATGTGTAGCGCACGTATAGCGCATAGCGCATGTATAGCGCGCCCGCTAAAGTGCGCATTCATCAGAGGTTTGGAAACCAGATCAAAAATTGTACGACGGGGGTTAATTTGACTGCGTTGATTTCATGAAAAAGAGTATTATTTTCTTGTTTTGGGTAGATTTAAGTGTGGTAAAACTATCAAAAAGGTGTATTTCACAACACTCACACAATATTTTGGTGCTAAAATCTTACGAAAACGCTACTTTTTCGTAGTCAAAATAACACTCAATGTTGCCTGTCCGAAGCGTGGAAGAGCGCCATCTTCCAGTAGGGGAGTCTGTTTATACCCCTAGCTCCGTGGTAATGGCCGCCATTAGAAAATTTTCACAATAGAGTTAAAAAGTATCTCATAAGCTCCCATAATTTTGGCAGAAACCACCTGAAATATGCCAAGGATTTGTTTGTAATCGATATATTGGAGGCTCTACACCTTAACTCCCCTGTTAACGAACTGTAAAAATCTAGGTAACCTGAAATCTGTCTCTGAATTCGATGTTTGTTGTGAGTTTTGCAGACGGCAACCTGCCCTAACTTTCTGTACTAACGATATACATGTAGGTTAGTGGTAGTATCAAATGCATGCAAGTTACATGTACCTGCCTGAGCTAGGCTCATATTTTGCGTTCGTGCCGTTGAAGTAATTTTGTCCGAAGTTTGGCAACGTCCGAAGTTTGGCAGTCTTACTCTACAACCAAAGAAATAAGAAAACTGACCAAGAAGTAATCGTACTAAAAATCGTGCCTCGCACACACACTCTCGCCATACCACGATTGGTCCATGGTGGGAAGCTAGCGGGCTGGGAGTTTGCCACGAGACCAATGCAGCTTCGGAGATACGCAGCGCGCAAATTTACCGGGACTCGATAGGTTAGCAGTGGGAAGGTAACAGGCTAGCTTTTTGCCAAAACAACGCTAGATTGGCTGCTGGCAAAATGAAAGTAACTACGATCGAGAACATCTTCGGTGTTCTTAACTTTTCAGTAAGATAATTCTGAATTCAAATTGAGACTATATAATAAATTAAACCAACAAACAAACCTTGGTAGATCTCTAATAACTATACAAAAGCTTGTTTATTTCTCCATTTGACATTTTGTTTTCTCCCATTTGTTCATGTGCGAGTCAAATAAGGCTGTGCACAACCGTGTAATGAGGTACACGAGTACACTCCCAGGCTTACAAGCGAATACTCGAATATTTTTTTTTTTTTAATAATTTTTTTTTTTTTTTTTTTTTTTGGCCACCACCATACCACGGGAGCAGTATCCCAGGTCCGTCTCCGAAAACTCATGCAATTTTACTTTGAGTTGCAGTTGAAGGCGCAGATTTAATAATAATAACAACAGTAAACAATGCTGTTTTAAAAACCAAAGATGGCAGAATAATCCATTTTCCTCCGAGTCCAAACAGAAATCCGGACATTTGGTCCCAGTCTCTGAGTGGTGAGTTTGAAAGTGATTGAGCTGACTGAGTGATTTACCGACGGCACCATGCCAGCGGCAGTCACTATTTTTTTTTTTTTTGCGGCCGAATATTCGAGTATGAGAAATCGTACTCGAGTAGTTGTCAACAGTGCGGGTACTCGAGCATTCGACTACTCGTCGCAGCCCTAGAGTCAATGCAACCTATGTAGACTATGACCTAACTTCCAACACGCAAGGAACAGGGAACACTCGCAGACCTTGTATCAAATTTGTTGCAACAAAAAAAAAATTGATTTTGAAGCAATGAAGAAAATAAGCGCTGCGATGCGCAGAAATAAACTTGAAAGAAACTTTAAAAATCACACCTGAATTTTCAGAAAATCGTATTTGTATTACTGTGCCTAGTTGTCATTTATTTATATCCCAGACTCTTGGCAGATTTGTCAGAAAAAAATGTCAATTTTTTCCGTTTTGTGGTCATTTCTAGGCTAATATTTAAAAATCGAGATTCAAACCTTTATTTCTTGTGATCCTGAAGGTGATACTCAAGAAATGAGGTGTCATATGAAAGAGCAGATTAATCTCCATATTTCCAAAGGGGTGTCATCTCGGAATTCTAAAAATATCTTGGTCAAAGCAGGGATTCAAATGTTGTTCCCATCCCAGCTCCGAAATTAGCCACTTTTTAGAAATGACTCCCAGACCGATAAGTAGTCCCAGTCGTAAGGAATATATCCATGCACTTATTTTTTAGCTAGGCCCATGGGATCACAAGTTATTACAGTTTGAATGTACCCTTCCCGTATTAGCTAAGTAGCGAGGCGTGAGCTCCGCTCAGCCCAAACCCATGGTGACCACGCGTAGAATCTGCACATGCATGCATTCGGACACACATGCGGTATCGCGTGTGTGTTTGTGAATTGCCATACGGACCCGCACACGGAAGACCATGGAGGTGGAGCGTGCGAACGCGTCCAAGTAGCGCATACAGCTACATGTATTAAAGCAACAGGAATGTGCTTGCATATTGCGCAATGCCGCTGTTTTGCTAAATTTAGCAAAACAAAATAACTCTGCATGTACGTCTTTTTCGTCGATTCTGACAAAAATTGAATGAATGTTGCTTAGATTTTGGGGGCTATATCTTTTGATAGAAACATCGGTGAGTCTTGAAATTTGAAATGTATTATATTTCAATTATCCAACCATAATGGTGAAAAATGATCCCAAAGGGAAAATTGAAAAATCGTTCAGACACCCTAGTCATGGTTTAGAGGGATGGGCTAGCATAGACATTGCATCAGCAGCATTATTGTATTTATGGATGGGAGGAGCTAGGAGATTGTTTTTTAGCCAAGATATGAAAATTGTATTTGAAATGATGTGAAATCCAAGCTTTCAGAATTTGTTCTCTTTTATATTTATATTCATATTTATGTGATGTAAAGTTGTAAACAAATGTAGAATCTAATGAGTAAAGGCTAACGTTTCAGATTCGTTGACCAATTTATTCTCAATCTCAGAGACTCAGGAAAGACTCAGCAAATTGATGTTAGTTAGAACTTTGCAAAGTATCACAAGTTCTTGTGAAAGATTTCCAAATTAAGTTTTACCGGTATATTTTTCATCAGTGTAATTTTTTGATTTCATATCTTTCCCCAATATTCCAAAGCATTTTTTTCTTCTATTTTCTAAACCCATTCCATTCTCTCATTGTACCTGTATGTCCGAAACATGATCTGTAAAATCTGTTAAAAATATTCCATCAAATTTCTTTTGAAGAAAATTCAATGTTTTGCACTACTTTGTGTAATATGGCTATTATTGGCATATATATATTTTTTAATTATTTGTACCACCCACAAAATTGCAACAATTATAGTTTCCTTAACTCCGCATGTTTCTTTTGATGATAGCTGTTGCAAGGTCAGATTCTAGTGATAAAAAAAGTGGAGGAAAGGTGGAGTTCAACTGGAAAGATGCCCTCAATCTGGAGAGCCAGCTGACAGAAGAAGAGATCATGGTTCGGGATCAGTTCAGAGTTTACTGCCAAGAGAAGCTCATGCCTAGGATCCTAATGGCAAATAGAAACGGAGGTAAATAGTTGTTTAGAACAGGATGATAGCAGGTCAAGGCACCAAATAGAGTCATATCCTGAGATTATGATTAGTTTTCATTATAGCCTCATGACCAAGAATTGCTTGTTACTATTCATTTAAAAATGGCAGGACCTTGAATTTCTAAAAAATGGAGTCGAGACTAAAGTGACTCAATTTTGGTTTAGAAGCCAATGATATGAAAGACTTTGAGAATGGTGCATGTTTTAAATGTTGATCGATCTTTTTATTTCAAATAAAAAATGTACAAGTCATTCTTAAGGTATAATTTGTAGAGCTTTAAAGATAAAGACCAGTTTTGGAAATGCCCCCTCTCAAAAAATGAAATGGAAGCTCTTATTACCAATCATTTGAAAGAATGTGTTTTGATACAAATTTTGCCGAGAAGCCGCCTCCTAATTGATGTATTTGGTAAATTAGTATATCTATCTGGACCGGATAGATATCGTGAACGTGTTGCGTAGTCCCATATACATCTTTCTGTGTACAGTGCTTGTAACTTTACCAAGACTTGGGCAAATTTCTTATCATTTTGATGATTCCAGAACCTTGCAGTACACACCAATACTTATATGCTAGATGATCAACCTTTTCTGATGGATTCTACAACGTTTCTTTCACAATGCAATCGCATGCCAGAACTGATCTTTATCTTTAAATATAAATTCTTTTTTCTTACCCTTTCAACCTTTGCAGTGTTTGACCGAGATATCTTCCATGAGCTTGGTGCTCTAGGAGTTCTTGGGCCAACCATCAAGGGCTACGGGTGTGCTGGGGTATCGTCTGTTGCTTATGGGTTACTTGCCAGGGAGATAGAGTATGTAGATAGCAGCTACAGGTCAGCTTTCAGCGTCCAGTCTTCGCTCGTTATGCATCCTATCAATGAGTATGGGACAGAGGCACAGAAAGAGAAATACCTACCAAGACTGGGTAAGGATGTATAGAGAGAGATAGAAAGAGAGCGTGGGAGAGAGAAAGATAAAGATATGTTTGAAGAGAGATGGAGGGGAAGAGAAAAAGAATGCAACATAGAGAGAAACACATGGAGAATATAAATACTGTCGGACATAGAGAGAGAGAGAGAGAGGGGGGGGGGGGGGGGGTAGTGAAGAAGAAGAAGAAAAAGAAGAGAGAGAGAGAGAGAGAGGGGGGGGGAGTCAGTGAGAGTGATAGACAGAGCAGGAGCATGCAGGGTCTGTAACAGGGCTGAACATTACTTTTCCTAAATAAAATAATCATGGAAATCTTGCTTCTTAATAACGAATTTGAGCAACCCATTTCAACTGCATAAAACAATTTGTTTCAATGGGAATGAACCTACCCTTGGAACAACATGGGTTACCAGTAATATAGCGCATACATGTAGCCTGTCATATTGGACTTCATCAAGAATGCACACTTTTTCAGGAAGCTCTCACAGCATTCACAGGACTTAACAACCTTATTCTTTGTCTCTTCTTCTCTACTATGCCATACAGCTTCTGGAGAGCTAATTGGAGCCTTTGGACTGACTGAACCCAACCATGGCAGTGACCCAGCAGGTATGGAGACCAAGGCAGTCTACAATCCGTCATCAAAGACATACACTCTTAATGGAGCCAAGTCATGGTATGTATCCATCCAGGGTAGTATTTCTTATTCTAGGGGGATGTGATCCAAAAGCTGAAAACGTGACATTGTGCTGCACATATGAATGAGAAATTGATACATTGTACATGATAAATCACTTTTACCCTACTATGAACATTTATGTTGATAAAATAGAAATGAATTATCTTAGCAGGGAGAGAATTTTTTTAGAGGCAAATATAAAGTAGACATAACAAATATTATGCATTTGAAATGATCTTAATTAAACCAAGCACTTTTGTATCTCGTTACTTAGGATCACCAATTCCCCGATCGCTGATGTGTTTGTGGTGTGGGGCAAGAACCACGAGGAAGGTGGCAAGATCAGAGGCTTCATCCTAGAGAAGGGAATGAAAGGTCTTTCTGCTCCTTACATCGATGGCAAGTTCTCCCTGCGTGCTTCGGCCACGGGACAGATTGTGATGGAAGATGTGGAGATCCCAGAAGAGAACATGCTGCCTAATGTCAAGGGCCTTGGGGTGAGTAGTCTTGACCTTTGACCCCTTACTCCTAGTTACGCTAATACACCAGTTTACGGTTATAACAGTGCGCATGCGCTGACATGGGTGCCATTTTAACTTGCGGGTAACTTGCGAGTAAACAAACCACTGACCTCTAGAGGTCAGTTTACACGTAAATTAAGACGCGCCCATGCAAATATGATGTGAGCGCACAGTGCAGGCAGTGATGCAACAATACATGCACATCTGAAAACATTGATGACACTGCCTGCGCTGTGCGCTCACATCATATTTGCATGGGCGCTATCTTATTTTACACGTAAACCACTGACCTCTAGAGGTCAATGGTTTGTTTACCCTTAAATTAAAATGTCGCCCATAACCGTAAACTGGTGTATTGTTATAAGTTACTGAAATCCTAGCATTTGATTGGCTGTGAGCAGATCTGTCATAGATCTGTGGCAGTTGTTATTAGTAACAAGTTTTTATGAAACAGGGCCCTGCTGAGGATGTTTGATACTGGAGCACTCGGAGCTCATGTTCAGTCCTGCTCGTGCATGCTAATTATTTTCATGATAATAACAACTGTTTTTTTATATGGTACCTTTATATTTACAATGTAAGTTATGTAACCGACCAAAGTGCTTTTAGTTTCGTTACCATGGTCACTGGATTCAGTTGCAATTCTGCACTGTACAGCGCTTAACCCTATTTAGCCCGGGGGGGGGGCTTTAGAAGCCCCCCCCCCCGACATTTTTCGCGATAATTTTTTAACGCAAGAAAATCTTGCACTGAAATTTTGTGACTTTTTTCTTTGAAGTCTTGCGCATCTTTTGAAAGAATTTTTTTGAAAATCGGACCTACCATTACAAAGTCACATGTCCTTTTGTCTTTGCATGTCAGCCCGAAAATCGCTCATTTTTGTGATTTGTGTACAAAACATACTGAATTCTCATCTTTCAAATAAAGAGATAAAACATTGGTTATTTGGTCTTGTTTATAGTTTAGGTGTTTATTTTGGGTTCAAAATAGTTGAATTATAGTTGGAAATTAAATAAAACAACAAAAACAATAAAATACATAAGTTAAAAAAACAAAGAAATACATAAGAAATTATCAAAACAATAGATAACATAAGGAATAACCCTGGTTATTCAATTTTTTGTGTTGTATTATTATTCCAAATGGTCTAACAAATATATGTAGTGAAAAAGAATGCTTAAATAAGAATAATGTCTGATTTATGTGCAAAAATGTGAATTCTATGACCTTATTTGCATAAATTACCATAAATATGCAAATGAGCGAATTTTTCAAAAAATTGAAATTACCATAGTATTCTATACACTTCACTTGACATGTATGCAAATTTTCGCGGCGATCGGTCGTTTCACGGCCAAGATCATAGGGGGGGGGGCCGTAGAAGCCCCCCCTCCCCGGGCTATGCAGTTTCAAAATAGCCCGGGCTAAATAGGGTTAAACCCCACTCCACTGAGGAACATTCTAGCTAATCCCATTTTCACAGGTTGTGATTTATTGAAAGACAAAGAGTTATGTGAACTACCTAACAAATTGAACGGGCTCTCTAGTTGTGGTAATGAGCCATCATCGAAAGTAAAGACATGCAGTCCTTTATTCATCATGATCCCTCATACTCCGATAGTGCACCTGAGAGCAATCGTAAGTTCACGCATTATTACAACTTTGTTCATATTTGCAGGGTCCGTTTGGTTGTCTGAACAATGCGAGGTACGGCATCGCATGGGGCACGTTGGGTGCTGCTGAGTTCTGCCTGGAGACAGCAAGACAGTACACACTGGACAGGTAAGTTTTTAAAAAATGTGTGTGTGTGTATTGGGCTTTTACAGACGTGTATGAATCGGATATGATTGTTTACGTCTGGGGACTGACCTTTAAACGTCACCATTCAAAAGACGTGACTCAGTTTCGAAACCTGCGTCCTCAGCTGAATCAGTTTGTAACTTCCATTGTTAGCTAGATTACAGGCGCATGCCACAACGCCTACCGTAGTCTGAATTTGGTGTGGTTTTTCCTCATCCTCTCCTATTTTGTTGAATGATGTTTCTATGAAATTTGTGTATTTTTTTCTGGTAGTTTTTATTCTTTAATTACTTGAACACATAAATATAATAGTCAATTTGAGGACAATCTGTATTTCTTTTTTTAATTTGAGTTTTATAATTTTTAAATTTTGTGTAGAATTTTTTTTTTTTTCAATTGACATAGATGTGTATGATTTGAAGGCTGTGAAATTAGGCAAGGTGGCAACTTGAGCACTTTTTAAGGCTGATTGGTCATGATATTGTTTCATTCCCTTGATAGAGTCTAACAATCAAATATCTACTTCATCCCTGGGCAACTCTTGTAGAATGCGTATATGATCATATAATAATAATAATAATAGCCTAATAGTCCACTCCAAATTTTATTAAACCAAAACTGAAATTCTTTTTGCCTAATTGATCGTGAGCCCGGCAGCCACTGAGCAGCGCCAGATCGAGTTGTGATTGATAAGGATTGATTGCAAGACAGGGTGCTGGAGTGACTTTTGTTTGACTATGATGTCATCTTGCCTTCCCAGGGTTCAGTTCGGCTCACCGTTGGCCAGGAATCAGTTGATGCAGAAAAAGATGGCTGACATGTTGACAGAGATCTCCCTTGGACTACAATCATGTATTCAGGTTGGAAGACTCAAGGATCAAGGAAAGTGAGTACAAAGTTTAGATGTAATTTTAGATCTTGCCTGATGACGAAATACATGTAGTTCATAAACAAATCTGGTTATGTATGGCTGATGGGATGACAGTCTAACAAGAGGCATTGACATGAAATGAATTAATTCAGGTCGCTTGGTATAATCCTTTTTTGAAATTTTCCTGACAATGTTTAAGAATAGGCTCATCAAAATGTCCAAAATCAGAGCTCATGCCTGATTTCACAGATTTTTTAAGGGTTTCTTCTTATTCAAAGGATGAATACCATAACAAATTTCTTAAAGAAGATAACTTTTCTTTTCTCTGTTCTCAAAACCCAATATGTGACACCAAGTAAACAAACAGCCATACTATTTGAACAGATAGGTACCTGTACCTGTTCTTTTTTGGGAAGTAAAAAACTAATTATTCCTTCTCCTAAAATAAATAATGTCTAGATTCTTGAGTTGGACTTTCCTCCTACAAGAAAGTGATTTAACCTGATTCATGCAAACAGTCTAAAGAAACTTCCAGCAATGATTATTACTATGCTTTACAGTCCTCAGATTTCTTTCATTTAACCCACTGCCGACACAAATCAGGCAGTTCCTGTATGTAGCTTCTGGGGATGAGATAATTATGTTGACATTGACATTAAATGCTGTATTTTGCCGTTTCTTTCTTTAATTGTTGGCAATTGTTTACAGAACAAGAAGGACTAATCAATCATGCTGATATTGTAGAAATACTACTGACAACATTTAATATACAGTCAAACCTGTCTTTAGCGACTGCCCAAGGGAAACACAAAAAGTGGTCTTTGTAGACAGGTTCCTTTGGTACATGTTTCAATGAGACACCATTTTCAAGGGAAACAAAGAATGTGGTCGTTGTAGACAGGTGGTCGCTAAAGCAGGTTTGACTGTAGTTTTGTACTTCTTGAGCTGTCATTTTCTAATTCAGTCACATTCACCTTGTAATTTTTCAGATGGGGAAACAAAGTTTTTCATTTGATGGTGCAGCTTTCTGGAATACTTTACCTATTTTTTTTTAAATGCGCCATCAAATTCTTCATTTACTCTTTTATTTTGGCGCTATAATAATTTAAATCAATGAACTGGTCCATTGTATTGTTTTTGTTTCTTTTCTTTTGTTTGAAAATGTTGTAACTTAATTCATTTTGTTTCGATTTGGATTGTTTGTTTTCATTATGTTTGTTAATTTTGTATTTATGTTGTAGGGCCTCCACGGAAAACAGTATTTAACTACTGATGGAGCCACCCTACTAAAAAAAGACTAATAAATAAAATAATAAATAAATAAATAAATAAATTTTGTTTTTCATCAGAGCTACACCAGATATGATCTCCCTGATCAAGAGGAACTCTTGTGGTAAATCCCTGGACATCGCCAGGGTAGCTAGAGACATGCTCGGTGGTAACGGCATCTGTGATGAGTATCATGTCATCAGACATGTCATGAATCTAGAGGCTGTCAATACGTATGAAGGTAAGAAATCTGTATATTCTAGCTTGCTCTCCAGAGCAAACCGTGCATGATTTTGAAGTCTTCTAGTATCAAAAGCCACCTACTGTGCCACCTTGAGAAATCCTAACCCTAACCTAAAGTGTGTGGAGAGAATAAGAATAAGGTATACATTTGTAATTACACATTCTATCCAATATGATGCTAATTTAGACTTAAGATAAGAACAAGGTGTGGTTGTTGTATCATTGAATGCCGAGCAAGACATGATTTGACAGTGAACCCATTTGAAATGAAAGTGGAACAACTTATAATACAAATTTATTCAATTCATAGATGATTTGTTTTGATTTCATAGTGATGCTTTCAACTTATACATCTTTTTTTCTCAGATGTCAAATGCAGGGTATAAACATTGATTGATTGTAATGGCTGGCTAGCATCTGACATGCTCTAGGCTTATAAGGAATATCTAGTTCTTATAAGATGTATACTGGTTAATTTCAATGGGTTTGTGAACTGTTCTACAGCAAGTAGGTGATCCTCCAAGCACACTTAACTTACAAGTACTTGGCATCCTAGTTTTTATTCCATCGTATTCATATCACATTCTATAAGTGTAGATGATGCCCCACACCAATGGCATCAGATCGTTTGCATATGCGATATATTAACTTGATAATTGTTGCATCTTTTGCAGGCACACATGACATCCATGCGCTTATCCTTGGTCGAGCTATCACAGGACTCCAGTCGTTCACAGCTACAGGCTAGAAGACAAGACCATAGTAGATGATGGACTTACCCTTAAGCTTTAACCAAAAAGCTCTGACAATGTTATTGATGTGATCCAGCTGTGGAGAGGGGCAGGGGTTGTGATCTTGTCCTGTCTTCCCTTCCCCTAGCCCGGGCTTGCATGGACTGTAATTCTAAGAAGTAGTTGTTTCGTGGTGTTCCTGCACTTTGTGTGACATTTGCTAACTATCTTCCTCATGTTATTTCTAGAGAAAGTCTTAGATATCTATCATAATTACCAACAGGATGTACTAAAGCTGTCCGTTAAAAAGTCCTTTGATATTCTGGTATTGTCACTTTTTTCTTTCTTTTTGCACCATATTCTGTGAAATTTAATTCTTTTTTTTGCATTTTAGGACTCAGATTCAATACGTGAAAAAATGAAAACCCCCTCCCCTCCCCAAATTTTCTTACTGTAGTGAGAGTATGCTGTATCAAAATATAAACATGGGTGTCAACAGTATTTGCCTACTTAGACCATTTTTAAAAAATGTTTGAAAAATATGTGTGAATTTACATGTACATGTACCTGTATATTAAAATACACAATGCCTGTGTATGTTTTGTAGTTGTGTCTGAAATATTGCTATAGACTTAATTTCCTTTTACAAGTTTTGAGTTGAATTGATTTATATATGCATCTGTATCATATTTTTTTTTACTTAATATAATACTTAAATACTTACATATTTAAATTACATTAATGAATTCCTAAATGTAACCCCTTACCAAATACACATTAGTGTACAGATACATGTAGAAGGGACAACTTATTACAAATAAGGGGTCAATCGATGTCATGTTTATGAGCTTACATCAAGTGTTGACATAAAACTATTTTTCTCAATTGATTCATTATCTCTTTGCTTACAAGTGCATGCACTAATTATTGTTTTAATTTATGTCCTTGAATATGTGGAAATAAGGTTAAGTAGTTGCAAATCAATCATATGCCAACATGAAAGTTATAATTTGTAGAGGCCTTGGTGAAAATCATGTCACTTTAGTAAGTGCATTATTTAGCAATTAAAAAAATTAAAACTCTCTGGCACATTTTACATTCAAGTTTTTGTTGATATGCCAATAGCATGGTCATGTTTAATGTTGGGTATGTTTCTTTTGTTTCAACTGATACTAGCATGATTTTAATGTGTTTATTTTTCCACAAAACGTTTGTTTTCTTGAGATAACTTGTATTTTTCCCTATTTCCATGTGTTATGCCATTATGAATGTCATGTGTGACAAGTTGACGAGAAGCAGAATGGCGCAAAATCCTTCTTCATATTTGATGGGGATATAGACGTTGAAAGAAGAATTATGTCAACAATTACAAAGTGTATATTTTTATTTGAACATGTATAAATGGTGTGAGTAAATAAAAGCATTTGAAAGCAGAAACATGGCCTGTTACTGAATTTATTATTTTAATTTTGTTGTTGTAGATTCCTCTTGGAGTATGCATGGAATAGAAACTATGGATGTGCTAGGTCACCTAGGTGTAAAAAAATGTAAATTTTGATTGATAAATGTCTCTTTAAGTGGCAAATCATCTTAAGCTGAAATGTTCTACATCAAGATGTTGAACACAATAGATTTTATTTGTAAATAAATATTGAGTCAAACTAATGCTTTAAACTGAATATCTCAGTATTTTACAAGTATTTTTCTGGCAACATAAAACTCACCAAATTAAAATCTGCGCCCTTCTAATTTTGCATTGAGCAAAGCTCATCTTGTTAATACAGTATGTGGGGTTTTAACTTTTTAACTTATTACTGATCAAAAGTGGTAAATGTTGTTCATTTACACCTAGTACATGTACATGTGAATGTATGTTTGGAATTTGCCCACACTTATTACTGTTCACAATGGGAAAATACACACATGTGAAAACAAAGCCATAATGACACTGTATGACTGAAAGTCTGGCACGTCACACTACGCATTGCACAGAGTCAAAGACACAAACATTTTAATTCAAATTGAAATAGTATTTATTCATGTTATACTCTCATCAGCACAACATCATTTATTCTTTACATTTCATCCAAATAAACTGTACATTCCTCCAATCTGATTGCAAAGTAACCTCTTTTTAATTCACTCGATAAAATTCTCAACATAAAAAGGAAAGAAATGCATCAAAAACACTTTCTTGTATTTCATAGAAACCTTCTTTTCCCTTCATATATAAACAACTTCTCTAGTCTTAAACTACACTGAGAGGTACCTGAGTATATTCTAGATACATACACAGTACTCTTATTCATTGGACAATCTAAATCCATGTTTAAAAACATCCATCTCTAAATAACTTTGTTCGTATATCTCTTTTCTTCTGTATGGACAACAGTGAAGTACATCAACACATACACATCAAAATAAGTCAATTCATTTTGCACATTAAAAAAGAAAAATTATTTCAAAATATCTTGCAAAGCTTATTCAGTACTATGCTTAGGTGGGGAGCATAGTGATACAGATATTGTTGTATTGCATGTGAATTATTCATTACTACTTAATAGAATACAAAGTCATTGAAAGCATTTATCACAAAGTTTCAGTTTTTTCAAAATTTTCTATGGAAGCAACTCAAAAACCAACAACAAAATGACAAATTGAAGTGAATTAAAAAGGCATATCAAAACATAGCATTAATGTGTAAAATGGACATACATGTAAAGAACTAAAGAATGTTGTCCAACCAATGATGAAGTTATGCATTCATTAATTCAGTCTTCATGCAAACAGGATGCAGATGATTGTGAATAAAAGAACTTTAAAAATATTAAATTTGACATGAATTAGTTCATTCAGAATGTTAGCAGGTGCAAGTTTTACCACCACCTATCAAAGCAAAAATATTGATAGCGACATTGAATATTACATTTCTGCATCCTCTTGCATAAAAGCTCGTGTTTAAACGCAACTAAACAAAATAAACGCAACTTGACTATCAACTAATCTGCAACGGCATATTTTCAACTTGCATATAAGTTTTGGAGTTGCATTTACACACAACTTTTTATGCCAGAAAGAATTGGTAACTTTTTCCGATCATTGATATTTTATCTTAATATTTTAGTAAAATGCATCTTATGAGAATAGAATTGCCTTTTATTTCATTAGATGAAGTGGAAAAATTCATTAAAAAATTAAAAGAGAAAACACTACAAGTATATAAAAAAAGAAGGAAAAAAATATGCGATTCTATCTCAATTGTTAATGTCATTCTAAAATCTAAATCACAATGGCACATAGTTGATTTTGTTCAGTTTAACAGTACTGCAAGTTACAATACATCTCTATCAGTTTCACTCCTCCGACCTCGTACTACAAACTCATAGGATCCTACAGCAAAAAACTCAGTCAATTTTTCGATTGTCCAGTCATGTTTCTTTTCCCCAAAAATCGATCCCTCAAATTGCTCTATGAGAATCTGTACTTCTAACCGATGATTTAATAAAAAGAAATGCTTTGCATAACACATTGTATATTAAACTTAATATTGCTTTCCTTTTTTTTTTCCAAATCGAATTCCAGAATAAAATATCACATAAAAAAATATAACTGTCTGTTGACCTTAACACAACCATGCATTTCCTCTTTGGAAGAATATGAAATAATCCTCAACATCAGCTGAGGAAAAAGAAGAATAAGTAGTAGTACTACATCAAAGCAAATTTGCAAACACTGACCTCACAAATTCTCAACGTACAGATCCACTTTTTTTTTTCAACTTCAATTTATATTCTTTCAATTATTTATTTGATATACATACAAAGGAAACCCAATCAAATTTATAATTATAATTGTAATTATATCACTTTTCAGTGAATATATCGTATGTTCAGAGCCAGAAGGGTGTTAACTCTGTGTTACAGTATATGCGTTAACGCCCTTCTCACTCCAAACAGACGATGTATACTCTTGGGTAATTGTCAGAAGGACCCTAAAACCAGTCATGGATACCGCGGCTTGTATCAGTATCATCACCAGTTCTTGAATGTTCCAAATTGGAACACATTTCTCTTCTTCAGAATTGTATTTTGTTGATAACTTAGTGACCTTGACGTGTTCATTTAGCGAAAGGCATTAACCATAATGAGCATTGTTTCAGCATTGACTATTCATATGACAAAGCGCATGTTAACTATACCACATTTTAACTTTACTGCATAAATATTCAACTTTCTAAAAGAGCTGCCTACTTTTACATGTATGACTCATGCAGAAGAGCCAGTATAAAGACTGGATATCTAGCCGATCTGTGACAGTGAAGCACGTTGCAATCTCTATGAAAATGCCAAAAAGTTTTAGTATGGATGCAGATGTAACATCGAGGCACTACGTATTCATAAAGTCTGTGATCTCAGTAGAAAGTTTGGTTTAAATATCAAAGAAACATGACAGATGTAAGAACTTTTGAAAATTAAACTTGTCAAACTTGCATCGTTTTCAGAATGGCACTTGTGTGTATGTACACCAATGAATACAAATGCACTTCAAAACCAGTTCAGCAGTAAAATTTATTTACCCAATTCCCTTATAAAAGCTCTTATCCTTACATTCTGTTAAATATCATTACCAGACTTCTGGGCCCATATTCATTAGAACCTCATAGGCCCAGTTTGTCAAGTAATTAATATGTAGATATAGTAACACACATATCGCTGATATATTTCTAATTGGTGAAATGCGTATAAGCCTATGACATACATATGACTACATACATGTAGGTCATACATAATTGTCCTGAGTATGCGACGGCAGCTTCGATGTAAATATTCTTCTGATTAAATAATGCCCTTAACCCAGATTAATTACCAGTTTGTTAAATTACAATTTAGGAATTTACATCATTGTTATAATGTTCCTGCTAGTAGGGAAATCAATAGAAGGGGCCAGAAAACAACCCAATTTCAACATCCATATTCAGAGATTTTCAAAAGTGATATGAAAAATAGAGTAAAAGTATGGCTATATCAAACTACCCTGAACTTGCTGACAGGTCATTGAAGGTCATTGAACTTAGGTCAATGAAGGTCACTTCAACAAGACTGATATACATTGCATCAAGATTGCAACAACATCTACAAAAAGTAGTGAAATGGTTCCACTATGTGTTGCATGCTTATCATTCACATGAAATATATTGCTTTGTCTGATTATGTTGTCATAGTTACCATATTCCACCTAATTAATGACATCTTAGCGAAAGAGAATTTAAGTAGATTCATTTTCTCTGAAGAAAATTGAGTGCCATGAGCACCAGTACCTGGCAGATACCAGCGCTATATAAATAGCCATTATTAAAATCATACATCATACAAAATCTGTTCTAGATATATATATATTTCAATAACACACTTTGCACAATCAATAAATGATGCTTTTGTGTTCATCTATCAGAATGTAATATCCTGCATCATGAGTTCAAGCTTTCTGAAAACAGCTCTTTGTTAACCATGGAAATGAAAACACATTCATCAAAAGGGTTATCATCACATCTCGTCTAAAAGGATGCTATGAGAGAAAGACCTGCAAAAACTTGGGATAGATGAGACTGATTCCGTGTCTTAGCCTAGGTCTAGATTCTGAACAAGGACTAGATATTGGACAAGATATGCATCCAGGGCCCCGTCTTGTAGAGACCTGCGATTGATCCAAATCGACCGCAAGTCCTCCGATCAATCGCAAGTTTACAGTCTCCTATCTCTTATGTACATAGTTGCGATTGATATCAATCACAAAATAAGTTGCAATTGATATCAACTGTTTATAAGACGGGGCCCAGGACTGGGTCTGGGTACTGGAAAACACAATCAAGGCCCTTAGTTTCTTGATCTACCTGCATTCATTCCAACAGTGATGATCACTCTTTCTCCAGGTACATGCAATGGAGTTCAAACTCTCGTCAAAGTCAAACCCTTGGTTAACTGTTCTTTCTGGAGCTAAGAGGATGCCGTACTCCTCCATGTTCCTTTCACAGAATCAACTAAAACGTAGAGTGTATCGTCCGGATCAATCCTTACAGACCTGCTATCCTCTCCATTAAAGCTCTCTGCTACCAATCTCCTTCGCTCAGATCATAGCCATGCAGACCAGAATAATTTGTCCATACCCTATATCCCAATCAACTTCTCAGGCATGGTTCCTTTCTCTCTCAACCCATTGACTCCTGCATTATTTCAATCACATAGGTTTGACACATGAGCCATCTGGTTCCAGTAGGGAAGGAGTTAATCTCTTTCCTTCCTGATCATCAAGCTATCCATCCACATCGTCTATCCCGCTTATCTTTTCCGTCGGCTTCTCCCCACCGCCGTTTCCATTGACCTCTGACCCTTCCGACGACCCGTTGACCTCCATCCTGGGAGTGACGGTGCCCTCTGTGGTCTCTTCTCCCTCATCCTCCTCCTTGGTGATAGCATCATCATCCTCGTCTTCATCCTGCGTGGTGAGATCGGTGAGGAGAGCGGTGGCTTCGGCCAGGGTGTCCTGAGCGCTCATGGTGCGTTGGAAACCCTTGCTGGTGGACGACTCGTTGGAGATGGAACTCTGAGGGTTCCAGTAGTGCTCTGTCATCTGTTTAATACACAATGCCATACAATTTAAAAGTCATTATCTTTTACATTTCATATCTGAGTTCAAGAGAGGTTTCTGAGAGGTGTGTCATCTCTCCAAGAATCATACAATTACAATTCAAATTCAAAACTATTAGTTCAAAGGGTTTAAGAAGTAAATGTACCTTCTTCATCTAGCAAATGCCACTTCTTTCCAAACAGAGGGGTATCATAATTCTTGCAACATATTCAAAAGTTATATCTCACAATTATTTCATTTCAAATTAACAACTTATATAACTCTTTAATGTACCCTTTAACCACAACCATTTTTCAGGTTCAAGATGATGTATCAGACAAAGGTAGGGGAAAAAAGGAAAGAAAAAATAATAGTCTGCCAACTTGAAGAAAAAATTATCATCAATTTAGCACTTAGTTCCTTTAATTGAAGTGGGACTGCACTACTTGAAGCTACTTGCGCCCTCTATATGGCAAACAATGCCTAAGCGGTACCCGTTGGTCCCCTATGGTCCCCTTTTTCTTATGTTAAATGAGAGCTGATTTGATGACTCAACCACCTGTCAGTGACCATCCAGGGAGGTCTAATCACTCCTGGCCAAACTAGTGCAGATAGGCTTTAATGGGTTCAGTAAGAGTTCTATATACCTTCTTCTTGAGCCAGTTGACTGCCCAGTGCCACTTCTGGGAGACCGATGTCAGGTATTCCTTGGCTGCTGGTGACTTGTTGGACAGATGGACCAAGAACTTGATGCACTGGTAGGACCGCCGGCTGTCATTGCCCGTACAGTTACGGATGATACCTGCAGAGCAAAGAGGGCAACGTGGAGAACAGGGTGAAAGGAAAATAAATGTCACTCACTTACAAGATGTACTGCAAATGCAAATTTGTTTTATCTATTCAGACTATTCACCATTCACTTTAAGGCCCCACTGCACTACTTATAGCTACTTGCGCCCTCTATATACCAATTGGTGACCATTGGCCTCCCATGATCCACTTTTCTTATGTTAATTGAGATCTTATTTAATGAGATAACGACCTGTCAGTGACCAATCAGGGAGGTATAATCCCTCCTGGCAAACTAGTGCAGTGGGGCTTTAAGACAGCAAGAATCTCTAATGCCTTTCAAAGCTCTAGGGAACCCAGACTGGCTTGAACAAGCGGCTAAAAAAATTGTAAATGAGTGTCTTACTCAAGGGTAATATTAAACTGATTTGATTTTGAAATGCTATAACCGATTCAAAAGCCATACTTCTAATAAAAATAAATAAGAATAAAAACTAATTTTCTATTTTCTTGTTGGTTTGAAACAATATAATTTCAATTCCTTTTAGTTAAAACACAAAGTATGGATTATCAAGTTTTCTTCATTATAGACCATGCTGACCGACAGAATAGATTACTATCCATACAATAACATCAATATATCTATATATATATATATCTCCCTAATAAGTGTTGACTTACTGAAGAGTCCATTGCTTTCATTGCCTTCCATGGCCAGCTTCAATCTTATTAGCTGTAGAGGATCATCTAGTAGCAGTAGCTCTAATAGCAGCACAAAGATAGCCTTCAGCTCATTGGCTGGAGCAGACGATACTTGACTCTATCAGGACAAAATAGACCAATCACATCACTCGTACAATTTACTTTTGTTTGTGTTAATGGTAATGTCATACATTTTTTAAAAGAATTAAGTTACTAACAAGAGCACAGTTCAAAATCAGTTGAAGCCGGATTAACAAAAAAAAATGTTAAATACAAAAATGAATGAGATTACTACTTCAGAATACATTCCTATTAGAAGAAGAATAGAAAAAAGAATAAGTTCAACAAGATGGATAAAAAATAAGGGAAAAGTGTGACGGATGAATAGGTAGAAATACAAATAAAGATAAAAGATTAGAACAGAAGAAGAAAAAAATGCAAGGGAGAAAGCCATATATTAGATAGAGAAATACAAATTTAAATATACATATATTTAACAAGAGAAATAAATCTCATAATGTTGTGAAGAATAAAATGAGAAAAAATTAAATTACAAACTGAATAAGTCATTTGTAAAAGATAAAAAAAAGGGAGAAGAACCTACAGACTATTTGTAACACCATGACCAAGAATTATCAATACATTGAGGGGTTTTACTTACATGTATGATCATCATGACATTGAATGTGAATCCTTCATTGCAGAAGCTACAATGTAGCAACATATCAAGAATGGGTGTGGTCGAGGAATGAACTTCACGGAATGCTAGCACAGACTGGAAATAAGAATCAAAAGGAAGAACGTATTGATTATTCAGATGTTATGATGATCATTATGGAAATTAAAATTGAAATTGTATTGGTTTATTGACACAAAATAATACACTTAAAAGCGACCCAAGGGCTGAAAATGTTCAATTTACATGACACAACATGCAGAAATATCAAACCAATTCTATGTAGCAGTGTATGAACATAACAATCAAGGTCTATGAGACAAGGTTTTCCTTAATATACCAGCATCTTATAATCAAGGAAAGTTTGTGATAGCTCCATTAATACCCCTCTTTCTCACTTTTCTTCATGTTTATGAAAACATCAATCTCTCTGAATTTCTCATATATTTATTTATCTACCTATATATCAATCTTCTTTTTTATTTATACATTCATCAATCTATCTATCAATCTATATTTTCATCTATCTATCTATTCATCTATATATTTATTTATTTATTCATACATCCTGCTATCTATCTTTCTATCTATTTATTCAGCTATCCCGCTATCCATCTATCAATCTATCTATCTATTTATCTATCTATCTATCTATCTATCTAGAGTAGAGTCTCCGGTTTGCGGCATCGCCCGGTTTGCGGCCAGGGGTATTTGTTTCAAAAATAAAATGAATATGACTCGATAATAATCATTGAAACCTACCGTGGATTCCACGGTAAGTTCTGCTTTGCCGAAAATGTCCGTAGCAGGTGCTCCTATCGGTACGGAGTATCCGTCAGCGATGTCGGAAATCTACGGCACCAGTCGCCGATGAAAATTCCAGCAGGTGCTAACTTTTAAGTTAAGAGATCGAGGCATGACTAGATCAATATTGTAGCTCTATTTGTCCGATATTTGTCCGATTGGAGGTGAAATTTGATGTTTTTGTGGAAGTATGATGGCTGTGGTCTGTCTCCTATCGCAGATATTTTGATTGTGCCACCGCATGGCTAGTTGCATGGGGTGACCGCAAACCGGCACGTAATTACGTGTTTTTCTGGTTTGCGGCAGGGGGTGTTAATACACACATAACATGCGGGATCGTGTATGATGGTATGTGTGCTGATGTGTGTACCCCCTATGACCCGATAATTTCTAGTAGTACGTACCCCCGTATGGGATGATCCATTCGAGGTAAAGGTGAAATTGTTTAAAACTTCACAAATTTACCGTAGCAACAGATAAACATGAGAATTTGGGTTACCCGTAGTAATTTGGTACATGCTTTCATCGTGACGTAGCGCATAAAGCTTTGTGACGTACGCGTGCCGCAAACCGGTACTGCGTGCCCGCAAACCGGGGAACTCGAAGCATTTCGAAACATGGTCAATGCTGACCACGCTGTGGGTCAGTTTGGTTATTTGTGACTTCTATTTAATAAGTAAGTATATGGACTCTTTATTGAGGGTATTGAAGTATTCTGTGAGTATTCCAATAAAAATAGAATCGGCAGTTCCCGCCGATCGGCCGCAGACCGGAGCCACTACTATCTATCTATCTATCTATCTATCTATCTATCTATCTATCTATCTATCTATCTATCTATCTATCTATCTATCTATCTATCTATCTATCTATCTATCTATCTATCTATCTATCTATCTATCTATCTGTCTGTCTGTCTGTCTGTCTGTCTATCTGTCTGTCTGTCTGGCTATATATCTATCTATCTGTCTGTCTATCTATCTATCTATCTATCTATCTATCTATCTATCTATCTATCTATCTATCTATCTATCTATCTATCTATCTATCTATCTATCTATCTAGCTATCTATCTATCTATCTATCTATCTATCTGTCTGTCTGTCTGTCTGTCTGTCTGTCTGTCTGTCTATCTGTCTGTCTGTCTGTCTATCTGTCTGTCTATCTATATATTCATTCATCCATCCATATATTTCTTTATGATCTATCTATCTATCATACCTCCTTGATATACTTGAGGCATGGAGGACCAAACAGAGTATGTCTCATATCTTCTGGCACTGGTAATAATCTGTTCAGGTTCTCTAGGATCAAGATGGGTCTCCTCTTAGGCTTGTCACCAAGGTCTGATGAAAGAGAATAATTTGGAAGAAAAAAAAGTATTTAAAGATAAAGTTGAGTTATGGTCATGCGATTGTATTGTGAAAGAAACGTTGTGGAACCGATCAGAAAAGGTTGATCATCTAGCATATAAGTATTGGTGCGTACTGCAAGGTTCTGGAATCATCAAAATGATAAGAAATTGGCCCAGTCTTAGTAAAGTTACAAGCACTGTACACAGAAAGATGATAATGGGACTAAACAAACATGTGGGATAAAAATCCCTCCCGATTTGTATGCTGTTACATGCCATATTTAGAATACTAAGGCATTTGAAGAACCATGCTTTTCAGGGAACGTTTTATATCTGATGTTCTTCCACACTGTCTTGCATAATACGAAGATACCAATATTCTTAACAATTATTTTCCACCTCTTCCCAGAACTCAACCTTCTCTTTAAGTATTTTTTTTTCAACCAAGGAGATCAAAAGTAAACATGCAATGTTCAAATACCAGGTTATCTCTACAAACTGAAATGCAATGTTTATCACACTTCTGAAAATGAAACAAATTTTAAATACTTTCAAATTCTCATTATCAATACCACCATACACTCAAACCCCTCTTACTGTATATAAGATCAAACAGGAAAGAAAATATCTGAGTGCAGTACCAAGGCGGGTGATAAAGTACAAAGGAAACCATCCTTCTACTCTCACAACACCTATCAACTAAAGTCCAGATACAATGTTTGCCCCTGTGATATTAGCTTCAGGCTTTACTGTCTCAAAGATAGAGTTAGAACCTTCATTGCGATTGGGTTTGTAATCATTTTAGGGTTAGGGTTAGTGTTACGTTAGTTTGTTGGGTCCAAGGATCAAGTTCAGAATTTAAAGGGAGTGTAGCATGACGAGACTACATGTCTATCTGTATACGGACGACGCGACCGCATGCAACATACACAAAACCGAAGCATGAGGAGAACTCCAGTCTGTTTCGCGAAGCTGATCGTTAATCCAGGCCATATGTTTACGTGCAGTTCTCCAAAAGAAGTCGTAGATGGCGTTAACCAGTATTTGCCAAGCTACACCCCCTTTAAGAATTAGCTTGACAGTGCAGCAACTGTTGCCGGAGCATATGCCATGCTTTACCGAACGCAAACGATCACATCTTTCTTTCTGTACATACCAACAGACCAGTATGGAGATACATCTGAGTGTAGAACCATGGCAGCAAGCATGGTGTGCAGGAAACCAAACTCTCTAGTCTGAAGTGAAGTCCACCGTCTTGTCTGGATGTCCTGAAGAAGAAAAGAGAAATCTCATCAAAAGAGCTCAATGTTTGGAATGATGGACTTGGTATCAGGACATCTCATATGTAGTGTCCTAAGGCACAGCATAACTACTGATTGAGGTATTCCCTTTGATACACCAGGCTATGGGAGCAATTATTGTAGGTATTAAGAATCCCTGTAGGATACTAATTGCTACTCTGTAAAACCAAACTAGGCCTTGTGGCGTGCACCTGTAATCCAGCTAGCAATGGAAGTTACAAACTGATTCAGCCAAGGACGCAGGTTTGAAACTGAGTCACGTCTTTCGGATGGTGACGTTAAAAGTCAGTCCCAAGACGTAAATAACTTGTGTGTCATGAACAAAGAAGTTGTTTCGAAAATAATATTGCTAGTGATATTCGTTTGTCTCGCAATGTATGGTCAACAAGGCCTATTGTTCTCACTGGGCAGGCGAGCCAAGCCAGTTGATTGGTTGAGCACCCATGTGCTTCGGCCAGTAGGCCTTGTCCGTTATTGTTCTAATTATTGGTCGAATTATTTGACCGCTGGTCCGCCCGTAGGGTATATAACACGCTTGCTTACATTATATTTTATCACCTGCCGAAGTGTTACAGCGGCGCACGAAACGCTGTGATCTTTTAGATCCCTTGTTGACCATACATTGCGAGACAAACGAATATCACTAGCAATATTATTTTCGATACTACATCTGCAATGAGTAATATATTTAGCATCAAAGAAGTTGTTGTTCAAAACTGTTCCAAATCTATCTTTGTAACTGTTCCATTCAAAGCATGGTTTGAACATTCCTCCAGCAAAATGAGTACCGGGTACTTCCAAACTTCTAATAAAGACTGGTTTGAGTGATACCACTTCATACATATTGTCAAGCCTCACAATTCTTACCAAGTCGTTAAGCTCTGAAGGAGGTCCTATGAGGAATGTGATGAGTCTCTGGAAAGCTTTCCTCCTGAACAGGTGCTCACAGGTATCTGAACCCTGTAAGATAGAGATAGAGATAGAAGGAAGGTCATTAGTTTGGGGCTTCTTACTTTAACACTCATTTCTTTCAAGTCATTTTATTTATTGTTATACAAAGAATGAAAGAAAGACATAACATAAAAACTGTATGCTTAGCATGGTAATCATCAAAAGTATGTGATACTCTGCATAACTTATTGTCTTGATAATATCCAAATTTTGTTCATCACTATTCTTGAAAGGATGTGATAATCACATTCACAACAGCATTCATTGCAGAGTAGCTTCAAGAGACGTGGGTAGATACTGAAAAGCCAAAGTTCCATTCTAAAGTTTGCTAAAGTCCATCTCAACAATGAAGCAAAACTGAAACTGAGAAATCAACTACTGAAAGCTAGATCTACAGGTATGACAACTGTTTGTAAACCAAACAGCACAGATGGGGTAAAATCTATGGAAAGGTATGATTACTAACGAGGTGCGATAACTCAGTCGGTAGAGCAGTGGTCTCGTAATCTGGCGACCCGGGTTCGAAAGCAAGGCGATAGGCTAGTGTCCTTTGGTAAGGCATTAATCCTCATTACCAGGTCTCTCAGAGAGCTCACTAACAAGCATTTATGCTTTCTTAGCAGTCAGGTAAAATAACCACCACTACTACTACTACTACTAATGATGTCTTACCAGCTCCAGGTACATGCTGAGGAGCCAGAAGTACTGGACACAACTCCTGCAGTGCTCCAGGACCTCCTTGTCCAGGAGAGACAGGAGATGCTCAAGGATGAAATCCAGGTTGGCTTGGTGCGTGTCATGGGATCGCAGGACGAAGCTCTGCATGACACTCTTGACGATGTTAGCCATAGCCATCCGAACCTCTTGACTGGGACATTCTAGTAGGAAGGCCCTGGTAAATGTAGAAATCAATAAAATATTACAGGATTGAGGGATTAACGATAACACTCATAGCCATAAAAACATCAACAACATTAACCAGATTTTCTAAGTCTAGACCTTGAAGAAAAAATGTATAATGTAACAACAATATCACCAACAGCACCATAAGTGACAGCAATAACACCTATACAACACCAACAATAGCAACATCACCACCAACATCAACATAAACATTTACACCAACATTGTCTGTAGAAATAGGAGCTATGTGAACAGCACAAGCAACAATGGCAAAATACAACAATCAGCAAAACAGCATAAAGAATCACAAAAAGTGGATGTAATCTTTATGAGTGAACAAGTCTTTTGTAATGATGAGCACATCATTCACAAATTCTTTAGAAGAGCCTCCCACAAGAGAAAAATTCATCAAAATAAATTCATAACCTGAATCATGCTGAAGGCTCTCCTATCTCTCATTGATATGCTTTGAGCAATTCTCACTATAATTCTCTTCCATGAGTCGCTTCAATGTTTTTGCAGCATGCCAGATTCATACACACATTATGGAGATTCTACATACTAAGTGCGAGTCTACTTTGTTTCACTACACAAGACCAGCTTCAACATCTTAACATGCTAGGTATAACAGCTATTCTACTTACTTGAGGTAGTCTCTGCCTTGTGATGATGCCAAGACTTCCAGGGCCCATTCACAAGCTTCCGGACTGTCTTTCACTATGCTATCAATCAGATCTCTCCAGTCCTCTAAATCATACCTGCAGAGAGGCAAGATCATAAACATTACTCTCAGGCCATGTGCTGCATCAGAGAGGTATATATGGTGTGATACAGAACCTAATCAAGTCTTAAATGCTGTATGATTCTGTTAAGAACATTTGGCAATTCTTTAATCATTTTTATGTCAAAATTTCTTGGCTAAATGGAGGTAGCTCTACCAATCATGAGCAGTATTAAGATCATACTTCTAATGTGCCATATATATGTACTATCATAGAGATTATTTCCTGCACAGGTGTGTATTAAGTGTTGAGTGTCAAATTCTGACAGACATGATCGCTATACAAGAACACACCATTGTTACTATAACTAGAATCTTAACATCAATATTCACGTGATGTTATCCTTCTTCACTTACCGGAGTTTCTTCTTTGTTCTGAAGAGAGTGTTGAGAACAAAGTGCATGGCAAGCTTGATACTCTGCTGGGCCATCATACTGTATGCTGGATGGTATGTCATATGCTAAGGAGAAACAACACAGATTCCAGCGTAATAATAATAGTTAAACTCACGTTTAACTCAAATGCAGACATTAGTCCGTCGAATGCACACCTATTTCATTACTTCTGATTATTATCATAAAAGTTCACCATCTCCACACCTTGTGCAGAGTTTCTGTGAATGATGTGAGTGAACGCAGGTCCAAGCAAATTTGATCATGTATGTAAATGTTGCCATTCATTTTCCTGATTGAATATATTATACCAAATATGAGGTATGAAATTAAGTAGAAGAAAAAATTCAAGATGGAACTTAAATATTTGTAATGGAAATTATGTTTATTTAAACATATTTGTGGCTTACACCCAGTAAATAAGATCGAGTGATCAATCTGTATTGAAAAACAAGTCAGAAATAATTGAAATTTCTCCCAGGAAGCATTACCTTTATAAAAGGAAATTATGTTGTTTTACAAAGAGTTGTAACTGATCCATATCAATCACAACCTTACAATCTCTAAATGTATCATTATAGATTTGCAATTGGGTCAATTTGGGTCCATCAAAACTCGAAGAACAAGTCAAGTTGTCAATATCCTCCTCTTTAAACAGTCAATCTCCAGACTCCAAAGGCCACTCACCAAACTGCAGGATGCCAGCTTGCGGACAAAGGTGATGTACTCCTGGTTGTAGACGGCCCTGTTCTTCAAGAACTGTAGGTTCTCATCCTCTATTTGTCTCTGGATTGGTGCAGGCATCTTATCCAAGAAGAAGCCTCTCTTCTCACCCTTGTGAACCAGGGCTGAGAGCTCACTCATCCTGTCTCCTGTAGGGGACAGTTCAGGGGAACTCAGACCATCCATACTCCTGAGAAGAACAGAAGTGGAATTAAAAAGAAGAAAAATCATAATTTTGTTTGAAGATATAGAAAACGAGGTTATAGAAAAATAGACTCCTAAGAAGAAAATATATTAAGAAAAATTAAACATTAAAAAAAAACAGGAAGTGAAAAACAAACAGGAAATAAAATATAAGGACCTTGGCCCCTGTATCATGAAAAATTGTTCTTATTTTTTTTTAAAGGCAATTACTGAGAAAAAAAAACTCCTGGAATAAGTGTGCAGCAAGGTTGTCATTGAATTTTGTCACTTGTTATTGATAGCAAGTTTTGTGAAAAGTGGCCCTGGAGTGGACCAATAATACAAATGTGTTCAAGAACTGTGGAGAACAGAGAAGTGGAATAATGGGCTGTGAGACTGTGGATTCTGGACTGTGAGGAGATACCAAGATGGATAATTTTCATTTCCATTTCTGTCAAAGACTCAAAATATTAGTAAACAACTTCTTTATTGTCTACACAGTTTCTTGAAGAGGCAACCGACACTATTTTCCCATTTCTTCAAATGAAATGTATCAAGCACATCATTTCTACAATGCTACAGTAGTAATTGATCTGCAATGAATGTACTCACCCGTGTATATCACCATGGTATCCCTTGCGTCCTATCCTAGCCATAGGGTCAGGGCTTCTCATCCCCTCCATCTTCTCATAGAACAACATGTAACCACTCCATGTTCGTAGTCTGTTCTCAGGTCCGTATGAACCTGAGCAGTCAAAACAAACAAAAAAATAGAGAGCATTAAAGCTGATCTGTACTAGTTTACAGGAGGGATTATACCACCCTGCAAGGTCACTGGACAGGTGGTTATCTCATCAACTCAGTTCTCAGTTAACATAACTAGAAAAAGAGGATCATGGGGGACCAATGGTCACCGATTAGGCATTGTTTGTTATATAGAGGGCGCAAGTAGCTACAAGTAGTGCAGTGGTCCTTTAATATTCCTGATTTCCTGATTGGGTAAACTAGCAGCGAATACTGGAGAGAAAATAATTTTAGTGATTTATAACAACATCCTATATACATTTAGAGTGAAATTTATAAATAAAGACTACTCAAGGGACACAAGAAAATTGATCTTTATATCTTTTAAAATAATTTTGCAAGACCACATAATTAAGCTAATATGTCAAAAAATATGGTGAAAATTAATGAGATGTGAGATGGTCTAGCAGTACACATTCAGCCCAACTCTGACAGACCATACTTTGAAATCGAGTTGCATCTTCCAGACGGTTACGTTCAAGATCGGTCTCGAGACATGAAGATATGATCGATATGTTTATACAAATCCTGTTACACGATTACACTACAATGCACACATTAAAAAAAGGGTTTTGTGGGGACTCTGTTGATAACAGCCCTGGGTGGGTTCAAAAATAGGCTTGGTATTGGGTTCACACTGACCTGTAGTCTCATTGGACTTGGACCTGAATGAACCTCCAAAGCACTCAGCCTCGAGGGCAGCATCCGACATGATGAACTCCTCAACCTGGGTGTCGTTGAAGCGGAACCACTTCCCCTTACTCATGTTGGTCATGGACGTACCTCTGAGGGAGGAAAGAGGAAAGTTCATGTTTAGCTATTTGTTTGGATGATTCATTTTAAAAGTGAACATTTCTTAAAACTTTCAACTTTAACAAGCCCTTACAGCTTCTTGAAAACTACCGTTTGTTTCCTAGAACTTTTTTTTGTTTGTTATTTGTGAGAAGCATTATTTGAACAGGATGGACATGCTCTCACATCTGGTCAATAATGACACAACAATGAAAACCTACACAAAATTCTAGAATTCATTTTTTTTTTCTTGTCTATATTTTCTGAAACTAGAGATTCTAGATTTTCCCCATGATATATCCAATGAAACCAACTTACACATAATGTTAGACTAAGAGAAGTTAATAACTCCTTCCAGAGAAATTTCCCTCTTCGCCAATTGCTCTAATATAGGATTGCAACTTAACGTTAGTTTTCGAGCTCTAGAGACACATGAGGAAGGGTTAAAGGGTTATCTTGGCTTATTACCTGAACTGTCCATACATTATTCACTCTACTCTTGACTAAATTCAGTCTAACTGAATAACATCTCAAAAACAACAACTTACCCTCTGTCCTTGATGAAGGAGTAGTAATGACCAGCGTTGGCTTGCCCGCTGTGAACGACCACACCCACCAGCTGGTAGAGATCATCGGTAGAGCTCTGGGAGGAGACGTGTCTCTGGTAGTTCATAGGGCTGGGCGGATCATCGGCCTGCTGCTGCTGCTGCTCTCTACGAGCCATACCCTTAGATGTGAACGGCTCCATGTCTAACACCCAGGGAAACTGATACAAAAGATGGGAACAACATGTTGGATCCTTTCACATATGTCATATACATGTGTATTCACCACGAATTAAATGTATTTCAAAATTTAACATACATTGCCTCTCATATGCCACCCCCCCCCCCCTCCCCTTTAAAATGTCACATGTTAAGTTACACATGGTGAAAGTACAAAATACATCTTTTAAAAAGCCACTCAATGTATTTTTGACCACTACCACCACCACAACCAACATTATTCAATATCCTTATCATCATCATCATCATCATCATCACAATCATCACCATCATCATCATCATCGTCGTCATCACAATCATCATCATCATCACCATCTTCATCATCATCATCATCATCATCACCATCTTCTTCTTCTTCATCATCATCATCATCATCATCATCATCATCATCATCATCATCATCATCATCATCATCATCATCATCATCATCATCATCATCATCATCATCATCATCATCATCATCATCATCATCATCATCGTCACCATCATCACCGTCTGATTCCCACACAGTGTATCTCACCTTGAAGTAGTCATCAAACTTGAGAGCTCTGCCTGCCTCCCAGTCGTAACCGAACCTCTTGAGCTGAATGACCAGGACTGGTGGCAGTGTCTTGATACATGTCCTCTTGATCGTATTCCTCTGTTAAACGAAATATCAAAATAGATAATAGTTCACAGTCATCTCAGTGTACATTACGTGTATAATGATTAAAGTCATGTTGCATACACTGTGGGTGAGAAATAGTGACACATGATTAACTGATGGGCTCAGGTGGGCAGTCAGGCGTTCTTGTGCAGGTTTCTGACTTACATGTACAATTCTTTGTATTATCGCACCTGTTAAATTCCCTATCATTATTAGCCATGTCCAGTTTTATGAACAATATGCCAGTCTAAAAATCTTTGTAAACAATAGATATACACTGCTACACAAATGAACACTTAATATGCAGTGTTTTATATTTTTCTTCTTTTCTTTTCTCCCTCTCCTCTCCTCTCTCCCCTCCCCTCCCCTTCCCCTCTCCACTCCCCTTTTCCCTCCCCTCCTCCCCCTCCCTCCCTCTCTCCCTCCCTCCCTCCCTCCCTCCCTCCCTCCCTCCCTCCCTCCCTCCCTCCCTCCCTCCCTCCCTCCCTCCCTCCCTCCCTACTTCCCTCCCTCCCTCTCTCCTCCTCACCTCTCCTCTCTTTTCTTATTTTTCCTTTTCTCTCTCTCTCCCCCATGTTTTTACTCATGATCAGTGACAATATGTGTCATTCTGAATGGTTAGAGAATTCCAATGCCCAAACATGAGGTTCATGGTCTATGCACCAATGATTTACCTTTTCATTGCACTCTTCACATAGATAAGCATTCTCCCCTTCCAACATCTCTCCTCTCACAAACTGCTCTAAAGAATCGTTGAGATTGTTTGACTTGACAGTCAGGTTCAGGGCAAAGAATTCTTCTTCCCTCTCTTTCCTAAAAAAAGAAAAAGATCAATAGATGATAATAGAATGATTGAATGTGATGCTATTGTATCAATTCTTTAGAGTAGAAAGATGAACACAAAGTCTTAGCAACAAGGACTGCACATCCTTCACAGTTTGGAATGTTGATACTGTTCAGCATGCAACTGGAGTTATCCACACCGGACCTTATCACTTTAATACATGTATTATCATTGACTATGTGCTGAAGACCAAAACAAATGTAGGAGGCATCAAGGAACTCTATCTTGTTTCCTTGAACACCATGAAACAAAACAAAACAAAAAGTTCAATTCAACATTCAGATTGTTTATTGAATATGATTGATACACATCTGTACAAACCTAAACTGCTTACCTATGAGGGCAGTCTTGACATATCATCTGATTGAGATAGAGACCCTGGAATTTTTGTTTCATCACCTCTTTCTGACCGGATTTCTGCAACATTGACAAATAACATGATCAGATACCTAATGTGTGAACTCAATAAATAAGACTATTAAAGATTTTATTTTATAAACAATCTTCAAAATTTGTCTAGTTCCTTAAAATTCAATGCTTAAGTTATGCTGGATTTTCATTGTTATTCTTCTTTTTCTTTATTGTACATTTCCAAAAGGGAGTGGGTGTTACAACTAAGGAAAACCTTAACTACCCTTGAGGTTCCAATTAAACCAATTAGTGAATTTAGAGTATAGTAAAGATATCAAAGGCATGGCTGTGTGTGTGTGTGCATGATTTCAAAAGGGGAAAGTCCCAGACTAACCTGAAGGGGAAACACCTTTTAACTTTAGGGGAACATTTCTAACTAACCTTGAGATACTCGTACAGCTGATCAGTAAATATGGTAAGTCATGTCAGTGTATTTGCATGATTTTAAAGAGGGGAAGACCCTTAGTAAACTTTGGGGAAATCCCTATTTAACCTTAAGGTACTTAGTAATTAAGTAAAGAAATCAAAGGCATCTTGTTGTTCTTGGATGTTGAGTGAAGTCTTACTTGAGGGGGAAATCCCTAACCAACCTCAACATATCTATCCAGCTGATTAATGACTATGGTGAAGAAATCAAAAGCATCTTGTTGCTACTGAATGTAGAGTTTCTGTTTATATGTTAGCATGCTTTCAAAAGGGGGAACTCCCAAATGTATAGGGGGGAAATCCCCAACTTACCTTGAGGTACTCATCCAGCTGATCGGTGAGTATCGTGAAAAAATCAAAGGCATCTTGCTGCTCCCTGACGTTGACTGGTTCTCCCCAGAACTTGAAGACCTGCCAGAACCTCTCTGGTTCATAGTACTGTAGCTTGCTCTCCAGGAGGTGGCCAAAGACATTCTGCATCTGATAGAAGATGGTGTCCTCTCCCTTCTCTTTCTCAGGGGTGTGGCCAGCAAGGATACCCTGTGGATCATACAGCAATGGAGAGGAATTAGATGGAATTACAAGATGACTTTGCTTGAACTCCAATAATGCATTTTTACATTAGCCATACATTTGTTACTTTAATTTGAGTGATAGTGCAGTTGTACTATTGTGATGTGAACAAATACATTACAGGGTGACCTATACCTATGTGGCTGTGAACAAAAATTGCCTTCTTACATGTTCTCATTTTGTACCGTATGCTACCTTTTAATGTCTTTCATAGTCGCACAAAATGTATTTTTGAATCAATATTTCTTTCTAATCATCATTATAGGGATTATTCTAATGCCCTCTTGCAATAACCATATTGATCAATTCATCTCCCATTTCCATCTCATCATCATCATCAGCATCAGCATCAGCATCATCATCATCATCATCATCATCATCATCATCATCATCATCAGCATCATCACCACCACCACAATCCTTATCTTCAATCTTCTAACATCTCTGATGCCAGGGGTCATGTACAGCTGCCATATGACAGAGTTAATGTAGCATGTAGCACCTCCGTCTTCCTTCTTCTCCTCCTCCTCATCATAATCATATCATAATGACCATCCTCTTCCTCCCTCACACCATATCACATACAATATTAATCAATCATTTTACCATGACAACAATCCTAAGCTTTTTTAATCAACTCACCTCCCTGATGCCTGGAGTCATATACAGCTGCTGGATAACAGCGTTCATGTAGCATGTAGCACCTCCGTTCTTCAGACCAACATACTTGGTCATCCTACCTTCTACTGGTGGCAAGAACTACAAAAAAAAAAGAACAGGAGCAAAAAGAATCTCATCAGATATTATCATAAATATGGTGTTGCCTTTGGCAAAACTTCTCCATAGATGACATGAAACAAGTTTCAGTTGATGATCCAGGCTAAGCTTCTTTGTCTTAAATGTTACTGACCACATCTACATGTATCTAAGATTAGATCAATAATCATACGAGAGCTGAGACCAGATAAAATATGATGTACTATGACAGCTTAAATATGAATTCATGTTCATATCTCATTACAATATTAGGTACCTTTTGTGACATCACATGACCAGGGCCCCCGATGAATAAAACTTAGCATCAATTGTAACTTTGCCATTAATGGTAACTTCCATGGAAGCCTTGTTGTGATTGGCTGTTGAGTGATGTTACCATGGTAGTTAATATTGATGGCAAAGTTACAATCAAACGCCTTGAACTTGCCACTTTATAAGAGAACAGCACTGAACAGGGACATACTTAAGCTTCTCATCTTGCAATCAACAGGGTAACAGACAAATAAGCTTGATACTAACTTTATTCATCATATCACCATGCAATGTTACGACATTTCACACTCAATTCACCTATATTATTCTGTACTTCCTCAAAATATTAATCAGGAGGAATCTGGAAAGAAATACATTTTGCACTTTAAACCTTCCCTCACAATCACTAAGCTTGACTTACCTCCCACTCTTTGGCAATGGAAGGGTCCAGTTGATGATGCATATTAATGAGCTGTGATGCAATCCTCTGCAGATTGTATGGACAGCCCTCACACAGTACTACCAGTAGCTCAAAGGCTGCTACACGTGATTCTTTGCCAGATATCCTAAAGAGATAAACAGACAAACAATAAATAGTTTTGAACAATGATTCAAAAGATGGCATTGACAAAGAATAATTTACTTTAAGTGATGTACCTTCTTCTTCTTCTTCTTCTTTTTATTTGGTTTCATTTGGGGAATAAGTCAGGATTGACTATTTGTATTACATTGGTAGTATGTGATCAAGCCTAGTCGCAGGGCTGGGTCTAGGTGTACCCAACATAATGAGCATAGACAAATCACAAACAACATTTGAACAATTTTTGTACTCATTTATAAGTGAAAACAACATAGTTAATCAAACAAAGTTATTGATAAAAGTAAGGGAGAAAGAGAAAGACAGTCAATGTGAACCATTTGAATGAGGATGAGAAAACTGTGAAAATAAAGTGAGTGCAACTTTTTTCCCCATGAAACAGTTTACAACATCTGTGCACGATGTGAAATGAGTTTCAAAGAAAATATATATACCATGACACCATGACTAAACTGTGAAATCACATGTAAAGTGTACACCCATCAAATCACAGTACAAACAAGCCCATTAATCTAGGGCTTTATATGGAAAAAGAGCCCTTGATTATAAGCGAAGCATGTCAGCAGACTGGGGCATTTTTTCCTTTTTCATACAAATAAAGGTAAAGCAAGAAAGGTGTACTATTTGTGTTTAAAGAGGTACTGTGATTCAGAAGGATTTACTCGATTCTAAATCCCATACTTCTAATGGATTCTTTATAGAGTTAATAATAATAATAATATATAGGATTTATAAGGCGCCTAATCCACTTAAAAATTAAATGCTCAAGGCATAGCTGAGAGTTTAACGTCTCATATCTCATAGGGTTAAAATGGCAAGCTACGTGTAAAGCACATGCACACCAAGGATATACAGTGAAACCTGTCTATAAAGACCACACAAGAGACAAGAAAAGTGGTCTTTATAGGCATGTGGTCTTTGTAGACAGGTGCCTATAGTACATGTTTCAATGAGAAACATTTTAAAGGGAAACAAAAAATTTGGTCTTTGTAGACAGGTGGTCATTAAAGTAGGTTTGACTGTGCAACGGTTATCCTGATAGACCTGATTATATAAAACAGAAGAGAATGTACATTCTTAAGCTGGGGTAAAAATAGTGGAGCACCAAGACCGGAGTGTCAAGTCTGACATACATGAGCGCTATACATGAACTTACTTTTATTATTAATATTACATGTACAGTCTCCTAAAGAGATGGACCATCTGGTAGAATAAAACGTTTTGCATATGAAGGAATTGAAGACAACTGTAAACTTTTTGTGTCTTGCTGTATAAGTTTATGCAATGTACATTTATCAAAGCTTACATGCATACATATATGTGTACTTGTACAAATAGGCCTACATAATTTCCATTTATAAGTAATGTAGAGGGAAGTTGAAAACACTTAAAAATCATCAATTCACATCATATTCATATGCAATGTTTTAAAAGATCAATATAGTGTTCAGCTTTTCACTAACCGAGCTGCAAAAGAAAAAAATACAAGAATTGATTTACATGCTTGTACATGTTATTTCCTCTCTTTCAAAGTAGCCGTAGATAACAGACCGGTTTACTAATATATTCATATTTATGGATGTTCCTTTCCTGGGGACCTAGTGAAGAATTATTCCATTCATCTGTTATTAACGAATGAATTACAATACTCACAATCCAGTCTGCATATAATACTTGTTGCTATAAAGGGTAAGCTTTCAGGTTTTCAAGAACAACTTATGTATAAAAAGCATGCATTAAATTTGAAAATGTTAGTAAACTAGTCTATTAAATAACTCTTGGCCGTTTCTGGTATTCCCAAATATGAAGGAAATAAAAGAAAACAATGAGTGACAACGACAAATGTTAGAGAGTGAATAAATGGGTTTTATAGAGAAGTAGATCTCCAAGGCAGCCAGCCATAAACATAGAAAGCAGAGTGCTAGCATCTCAAAGGTAGAGTCACTGATTTCTATAGATTCTTTTTTTAAACTCTCATCAAACTATTGAATAACAACGTCAAAGAGTTGATTAACATATTAAAGGCACTGATTGTCTAAAATCTTCCAACACAAGATTTTATGTTCTTGAACAGTTATATTCCTTTTTCATTTTGTTCTTCTTCTTATCAGCGACAATACCTTCAAGATTCTTGTTTATTAAGTTATTACGGTTAAAAAAAAACTCCACTAGGACTACAAGTTGCTTTGAATAACAGAAAATCAGAATAACCAATTGGAAAAAGTGAAGAAAATCTCCCACTTAAAATGACAAACACCAATTTCACAAAGGGGTATAGATAAACAAAATTGTTGCTGTTTGTGGCTGTGATTTCATGTATTAAATTCATGTGCAGGGAACATGGGTAGCATTTCATGAAACTGTCATAAGTACAAGTTCGCCGACATTGGATTGAGACTTTGTATTGAAAATTAACAAGCATGTCAATAGGATGTTGGTGAACTTGTACTCATGAAGTTTTGTGAAACGATGGCCTGATTGATTAGAGATAACAGAATATCACAGGGACATGCCAAACCATGACTTCCAAAGCTTTCATAATTTGTCATTGACCACAAGTTGTTGTTTTTTCTTCAAATTTTCATCTCTAAGTCAAAGTAACTCAAATTCTTGGTGAGCTTTGCCACAGAGTTTGACCTTGTGCTCAACAGTGATACATGGATTAGATTGCAAAGTGGGATATTAAAGGGTGAGCACTTACTTGTGTAAGTATGCGTGCCTCAAACCTTCACTCGTGTCAGAGTGGGGGATACTGAGGAAATACAGGCAAGTATTTATTGTCAACACTGAGAAGGTGTGCATAAGATAAGGAGTGCTACTTAAACACCTAGCAGGGCTTCTTATTTCTTATTTGTTCTAAACCACAATTATCACTTTAATTCTATGCTCTTGAGTATGACAGTTTGATGGTTAGAACTATGGGATGAGTACCTCAGTCAAACTTATAATGTAAAGTCTATCCTAGTCATAAAGGTTGGAAGTACTACTCTCTGGTTGCTGATAATTACAATTTGCTGTGTTTCATAGCAATGTACTAAACAATAGCTCTCAATAGCTAATTTTTGTTCCTATATTTCAGAGACTGGTTTGGTATCCAGACAATACCATGAGATAATTTGTACATACAAATATGTTCTACTACAACCACCCCCCCCCCCCCCCTCCATGATTATGGGAGGTGAAATTAATGATATGAAACCAGAACAACCCAACAAATATGTTAACCCATAGACGTCTACATGAATAATTTGATAAAATTGTCAATAGAAATGGTAGGAAGTGCCACCAAACATACAATACACAGTAATTTGGTATTAGATTGGGGTCTCACAGCAATCAAACGAGAATTAAATTGGTGTTTCACAGCAACCAAACTTGAAACTAGATGTTTATCAACTCAGATTTTGTCACGGCAGTAATTCAAACATAGTTTGTTTGAAATTAAGTGTGCAAAATGATAGGAAGCTCACACCGATTATCACCCAATCGATTGAGAACCACTCTGTGAGTATGGTTAGAACTTACGCTGTCAAACTAGGAGATATCTATACTTCTGAATTTCACAAAAATCACATGCCTTATTACACAATGAAAAATATCATGCAATTTCTTGCTCACTAATATTATTATGTATCAGGCTATCTTCTTCTTTTAAGAAATACATGTAAAAAGTCCTACATACTAAATGGAATCACAACATTATCAAGGCCTTTGATTACTTCCATGATTAAAAGGACAGGGTCTTACTTTGAATTGTAGTCTCTTCTCGAGTCTCCTTTCTCACTGTTATCTCCTTGATGCATGACGAGACGTGATGCAGGGAAGAGGTACTCGTTCAGTAGACTGTTCAGTAGTCTCTCACCTGTACACATAGAGAAACCAATGGATTAATCAAGGAATATTTAGTACGAGAACGAATTCATATGCATTAAAATAAGCAACAAAGGGACATGTGGTTGCACTGGTACAGGTGCATTTAGGTAACAGGGGATTTAAAGATAAAGTTGAGTTCTGGTCATGCGATTGCATTGTGAAAAAAACTGTTGTGGATCCGATTAGAAAAGGTTGATCATGTAGCATATAAGTATTGGTGTGTACTGCAAGGTTCTGGAATAATCAAAATGATAAGAAATTTGGCCCAGTCTGGTAAAGTTACAAGCACTGTACACAGAAAGATATATAAATCTGTCCCAATTTTTATGTAACATGCCATGATTTTCAGGGAACATTTTTTATCTGATGTTTTTCCGCACTTGCATTATACAATAACGCTCTCAAATTATTGTTCACCTCTTCCCAGAACCTAAGTTTCTCTTTAAAGAGATAAAGAGATCTTCCAATCTTCCAAACGGTTGTTTAGTGGTCTATCACCTTTCCTAGAGAGAACCCACTTTGATTGATTGATAGCTATCTATTTCATCTGGAATGTATTTCCTTTCAAGTTGTGCTGATTTATGTTTCAAACAAGTCAGAATAAGGGACTAGAAGGAATTCTCAAAGTTGCATTTGTGCAGCTGTTAAACCGTTCTTCACTCGTTATAATACCTCGTTCTATTTGGCAAATGGAAGGCATTTAAAAGTTCTTGCCGTAATCTGGAATTATGTGAATGAGTATTTTCTCATTTGAATTTTTCTGCTGAATTTGTTGTCAATTACACTTGAATGAATATGATGCATATACACCAATTCAAGAATCCTTGAAAAATAATCTTACCTATTTTCCTCTTGTCGACCCCCTCACATGTGAGTAGCGTCCTGATAAGATGAAGATGACCTGCTACGATGGTGTTATCTGTACTAGATAGGTTCATATCCTCAGAGTCTCCAGGCTCAAAGTTATGTAACCAGTCGATCTCATCACCTAACATGGACACGATGTTGACCTTCAAGAACTTCTGCTCATTCACTGTAAATAATAGAAGCATGGAATCATAAAAGGTGGAAAATCCATTTAATTTTCTTTAAAATAGGCTTTGCTAGACTTATGCATAACTATAAGTTCCCATTGGAGTCTCTGTTTGAATCGATCTGTAAATGTACATGAATATCATACATAATAATAATATAATAACAATACAATATTTATAAAGCGCATAATAAACATAAGTTTCTGTATGCGCTTTACAAGCATAATGATGAGAAATATAATCACATAAAAGGAATCAACACAGAGAAATAGACAAATCTTATAACTACTAAAATGACTATAAACTTAACATAGTAAATAACATAATAAAGAGATAGCAAACCATATGCTACAAAGGTGTGACTATGATGTACTTGCCCCTCCGATGTCCCCCCCCCCCCCCCCCCCAACACACACCAGCATGGATCTATCTCAAGAATTGAATTATAGCTCACCCCTCAATCCCTCCAGAAGACGGCATCTCAACTCAAAGTACTGTGCGGACTGGTTCAGTATTCTGCATAGGAAAAATATCAAAACCATTTACTTTGAGAATAAATAAATATGTATTGGGTCACATGATTTCAATCCAAGTACAAATCAATGACATTACATCTAAAGATACCTCAAGGATAACAAATACAAAAGGATCTAAAGATAAACCATCAGTACATAATTTTGTCCAACCTACATGTACGATGACACTTATTGAGTAAATTTCAGCATGACAATAACTATATATTTCATAAATGGAGCCAACATATGACAACAGCTGGTCAAGGTTGGCTCGGCTCAATTCACAAATGCAATTTTATTTCAATGCCCAATATCATTCATTCCAATTCAACTATCAATTCAATTCTATTTCAATCCACCCAATATTATTCCTTTCAATTCAATTATCAATTCAATTATTAATTCAATTTTGAATTCCATTCCCTGAATTGATGTCATACCTTTGGTTAGCTCCTCTAACCAGTGAGCTGGAGGTCCAGAGAGGCACTCGGGCCTGGAGGAGGACCTGGAGCACAAAGTCCCGAGGATGCAGGATCCTCACGCTCTCGTTACTGATGCTGGTGGAGGTGAGGGTGTAGAACTGGTCCAGGGCCGCACCCCTTACCTCAGGGTGGGGCGAGGAGAGGAGGATGTCGATGATGAAGTCATTCACTCCAGGCAGGGTATATAAGGCACCTTGGTGTTGGAAGTAGAGTTGAAGACAGAAATATGACAAGTTCAGTTTGGTGAGTATACACCCACCCACCAGTAGATTTTAGATAATCAACTTTCCCCATTTCCTGTTAGTATTACTCTTCTTTCTATATTTTCTAAGTTTCCTGCTTCTCTATATTTCTAATGATATCAGTTTCCCCATATATTCTTCCTTTTCTTGACCTTGTTGAATTCATGTAACTTCCTCTGACACTGAATCCATTTATTCAAAACACACCTCAGCATTTCATATCCTTGCTGTTTTTTTACATTTAACACGCTTTTACTTTCTCCCTTTGTCTTTCTCACTGTGTGGTCTCTTCTGCTTTCTTTCTTTCTTTCATATTCTCTGTCTTGATGTCTCTGTCTGTCTGTCTACCTCTCTCTCTCTCTCTCTCTGCTCTCTTTCTCCCCCTGTCTCTCCCTATGTCTCTGTCTCTCTTTCTAAATATATTTCTCTCTCTTTCTATGTCTCTGTCTCTCTTTCTTTCTCTTTCTATGTCTCTGTCTCTCTGTCTCTCTTTCTTTCTCTTTCTCTTTCTATGTCTCTTTCTCTCTCTCTCTCTCTCTCTCTCTCTCTCACACACATCATCTATCAGTACCAACCTAGGTTATGTGTCCTAAGCTGGAGACAAGCTACAAGTAGTTCCAGAGCTTCCCTGGCTATGGCTGCATCTTTCCCACTGACAGCCGTAGTATTGAGACAGATCCCTGCATGTAAAACCTGCGACTCACTATCATGACTGGATGAACTGTTTGTACTCCCTATGGAAAAACAGATACAGGAGGAAGAGAAAACATAATTATTTTTATTCAAATCTCAAAACATAGAAATTGTCTGAGAAAGACGATACTGAGATACACAATATTTCTTAGAATATTCATTTCAAGGTATTTTTACAGATCAACGACTAAAAACAAATCTGACAATGGAGCGGATGGGGAGGTAAGGTATTTCTCTGAAGAGAGATATTTAATAGTTGCTTTCATGCCAATTCAGTGGTTGATACCAGATAAACTACAAGTGCTGCAGTTCAAGGGAGAGCTTGAATTCTTGTTGTGTTTCTGGTGACTTCAAAGCTTCACTCAAAACTCAAATCTTCCTTCAGACATTTAAATACTTATTTTATTGGAGGAGCTTGCGCCTTAGAATGTTTTTTTAAACAGATATATGGCGCCATACAAATGCTGTTCATCATCATCATCATCATCGTGACTTGTTGGTGGCTTTTGACCATCAGGACACATTTAACACAAGGTGTACAAAACTTTATAAAAGTGACAGTCAAGGCTTAAATTTGAAAAGAATGGGAGTGGAGAAAACGACTGTCATTATTTGACTAACCTGCACTGCTATGCCTACTCCTTCTACCAATGCCCATAGCAAACCCCCCACCGGCCACCTCCTTGATGGGTTGACTAGCGCTGGCTAATCTTAGCTGACCTGCAGCAGCTGCCCAGGTTACACGCATTAGACAGGCGATCATCGATGTGAAGTCATTGGCATTCATAGTCTAAAAGATAGAAGGATTATGATATCATGTGTGAGTTTATGACTGACTACACCATATAATATAGTGAAATTATCAATGTACATTTTGTGTGCTGGTAATGACCAGAGTAGACTGCCAGGAATAGAAAAGGAACACTTTTCATAGTCCTTAGAACTTCATAAACAGAGTCATTTAATAACACAAGATGAAGGCAGTAAAACTTTTGAATAAATTTTTCCACAAGTATGCCACATGATCTCTTTAACTTTGTGAAAATAAAGCACCATAGTAAATATCCCAGGAAACACACTGATACATGTACAGAATGATCCAGAAGAAAATAGTATTTGGCAATATTGTCTTTTGACTTTTATTTCGCAAACTCACCAGAATGACTATTATTGCTACAAACAATTCTTCCCTGTTCATTGGCCTCTATGACTGACATTGACTTGACTGACTTAAGCCGTCCACACCGTCACTGGGATGTATGATGGCTTCTGTTTCACAACGGCTTGCCACACCTTCCTATCTTCTGTTAGCCTAGTGGCTTTAATCATTATTTTCTGTCATCTTAAAAATTTATCTACATTAACTGCCTAATGCTCTTAACTAAACATCTGTCTTGCTTACCTGAATAACTGTGATTGCCACTGAAGTGCCCTCTCTATTTGCTAGATCCCCACTGGCCTCTACGCTGGATATTCTTTCTAACAGACTCATCTTACGAGGTGAGCTTCCATAGCTAGATGAGAAGACAGTAGATGAATCTGCTCCAGAGTTATCAAAGACACTGCTGTCATTGAGTGACAGATCACTCTCCTTGAGATCAGTGGTGGTCTGTCCACATAGTAGAAATCTAATGGGTGTGATAGTAATAGTTTAGAACTTGTGTGGTGCTTTCTAATCTAAGATTTGTAATGATTAAAATACCTGAAGGTGGAAATGATCACCATACTCAATCTTCATGATACAAGTAATCAACATTATCGACAGAACCACCAATATGATCATCATCAAAACCATATCCATCATTATCACCACCACCACCACCATCATAACTATTATCACCACCACAATCATCATCATCATCATCATCATCATCATCATCATCATCATCATCATCATCATCATCATCATCATCATCATCATCATCTTCAACATCATCATCATTATCACCATCGCCATCGCCATCGCCATCGCCATCGCCATCGCCATCGCCATCGCCATCGCCATCGCCATCACCATCACCGTCACCACCACCATCACCATCACCATCACCACCATCACTGCCATCATCATCACCACACCATTATCACCAACGCCACCATCACCACCAACATCACCACAATCATCATCACCACCGCCATTACCATCAACAACACCATCATCATCGCCACCACACCATTATCACCACACCATTATCACCACCATCATAACCACCACCACCATCATCATCACCACCGCCACCACCACCACCACCACCACCATCACCACAATCATCATCATCATCATCATCATAACCATCATTGTGAACATCATCATCATAACCATCATTGTGAACATCATCATCACCTTTAACACAATCTAAGTCATCATCATTGTCATCTCCATCATCACCATCATCATCAGTGAAGTAACAATACTGCTACCACCATGTCCATCTGTAATCTTCCCCTGTCAACCCTTCTCACCTTGCTAACTGTAGACATATAGAATAACATCCCCTCCTGGTCTCATCATCAACATCTTGTGGAATGGAATCTTTCTGCAAGGCATTGATGACTAGACTCAGACCTCCTGCATTTAAGAAGCTCTCTCTGAAGTTCTGTGCGCTGGTTTGGGTACCGATGTCTTCCTGCATCGAAGGCATCAGCTTGCTACTCAGAACCTGTGTACAATCAAATACAATTACAAGTAATTGAATTGAATTGAAATGGTATTGATGAAAAAACATGCTAACAAATAATATTCATTGTTTATCATACAATATATATTGACAGTGTTCTTGATTTCAAATTTGTTGGTGGAAAACAGAATCCAATATTGACTAAGTCAAGCAATTTTCACTTTTACTTTTACCTTTATTTAAAGATTGACATTTATATAATTTAATTTTTGTTAAATGGCATTAAGTTTGCATTAAAATTTGTGCTTTCTCCCACTACAAATAAAAATTGGAAAGTTTACAAACTCTCTACCTTACACAAGGAATCACTGTTTCCAAACTAAAACTCACTTTATGTAATAACTTTGTCTCCATTAACAAACAGACTGATATGCTTAAACTTCAACTTCACAACAGAGCCAATCAAAGATAAAAGAGGAATGATTTGGGGCAACAATTATCAAGTAATCATAACTATACCTCAAGGTTGTAGAGCACTCTGAATGCTGACATGCCATGTGTACTGTTAGCTCTGAACAAACCCTCTAGGGTTGCCCTGGAAGAATCCTTGTTGCTCTCAGACCCTGACGTTTCTCCACCTAGACTAGTTACATTGTCCGAAGTCTGCGGTAAAAGAATCATAAGGTAATATCAGAATAACGATGATGATGACGATGTTGATGTTGATGACGATTTTGATGTTGATGTTGATGATAACTTTGAAGTTTATTGTGGTGGTGGTGGTGATTATTTTACCTGACTGCTAAGAAAGCATAAATGCTTGTTAGTAAGCAACCAGACGGCCGACGGCTTTAGGTCCCACATATTGAAGGAGAAGGAGGAGGAGGAGGAGGAGGAGGAGGAGGAGGAGGAGGAGGAGGAGGAGAAGGAGAAGGAGAAGGAGAAGGAGAAGGAGAAGGAGAAGGAGAAGGAGAAGGAGGAAAAGGAGAAGGAGAAGGAGAAGGAGGAGAAGGAGAAGGAGAAGGAGAAGGAGAAGGAGAAGGAGGAGAAGGAGAAGGAGAAGGAGAAGGAGAAGGAGAAGGAGAAGGAGAAGAAGGAGAAGGAGAATGAGAAGGAGAAGGAGAAGGAGAAGGAGAAGGAGAAGGAGAAGAAGAAGAAGAAGAAGAAGAAAACAATGATGATGATGATGATAACAATGATGAAGATAACAATGATGATGATGATGATAACAATGATGATGATGATGATGATGAAGAAGAATAGGAAGAAGGCGATGATGATGATGATGATGAAGATAATGATGATGATAATGATCATGATGATCATGATGAATATGATGATGATGATGATGATGATGATGATGAATATGATCATGATGAATTTGATCATTCACAGATAACAAATATTTGGTGCTGAGTCAATTAAATTTTGTGTATCAGAACCACTCATGAAAGTCTCATACATGCAAAAGTATCTTGAGTATTAAATTTAGAGTGGTCTCGTTCTAAATGTAATGCATGATGTAGTAATGTTCCATGGCCCCTAAAACAAGAACATAGAGAAAAGATCCTTGCACATACTGTATTGGTATGTTTCCACAGCGTATTTTTTTTAAGGAGATACAGAATGCTAGCTTACCTGTCTACATATAGAATCCAATGATTCCGGTATCGATGGATCCGTGGGAATCATCATGAGAAGTTTGCGAACTCTCTCTGTTATCCTGTAAATTTATTGAAACACAACTTTCATTTAACTTCAAACTTCACATTCTGACATGCTCATATAAAAATAGTACTGAATAGGGAGGAAAGGTATGTGCTATTGTAGTAGTACCCCAAAGATAGTATATTTCATCATAAGTCTCTTACATTGTGCATCCCTTCTTGAAGCTCATCAATGTTCATATATCTGAGTGATATTTGACTATTTTTACAGATGATCTCTTCATACTTTCCTTACAGCATAATACATATTGGAAACACAAACCTGTACACAGGCTTAACAATTGATTGGTTAGATACCGGGTCTTTGAACAGGAAGATATCACATGTGCAGAACATCGACACATTGCACTCTGTGATAAAACAAGGCTTTTTTTTTCCTTCATTATTTTAGCAGACAAAAACCAAACTAAACAATGTAACTATCAAAATACCTTGGTTCATCTATATCGGCAGTTTGATAGAGCATGTCAAAGACTTGACCACCAGTTGCCATGACGACACCAGGTAACGAACGCTCCAGCTCAGACTGCTGTCCAAAACTTGACATGTTCTAAAATGGAAATCAGAAGCAGAAATACATTTACATGTATATGCAAATGGGGCCACAAATAAATGAAAATTCAACTCAATTACATGTAATGAGCTGCAGTTGAATAATTTCTCATGTCAAAACTTAATTGAAATATAAAAGAGAATGATGCATGATTCACTTTAAATTAAACTTTGTTGCATTCTACAAGCCCCTTATCAAACAGAATAATTTGCAACTGTGTTAATGGAATTTCTTTTGCCATACATAATAAATGGTAAATTTGGAGGAAAATAAGCTTACTTGCTCCTGAACTACGGAACAAAGGATTGTGTGTGAACTTTTTTTTACCTTGAAACTGAGATATTTAATCATTATTTACAACGATGAATACAGATCCCATCTACTTTACTTGCAGGCAAATGAGAGAGTATTATAGTCTAGTAGCTCCAATTAAGTTCCCCACACTATGGAACATACATAGGAGTGTGTGAAGCTTTCGACTTTGAAACTGAGACGTTTCATTTCTAATAACGATACTGACTACTGACCTCATCGATGCGGGCACTACTGCTGACCGTTGAGCTGACCGGTCCATGAAGCTTGATGTTAAGATCTTGCTCCTCATCAAACTCCAGTTCAGATAACAGCTTCTGATCCTTGGTAGTAAGCATCTGTAAAGTAAGTACAACGATTGAAGGATTAATCCATGTTTGCTAAAAAGCAAGATATGGATAATTACTTACCTTCAAAGGAACCACTGCATTTGGGTCTATATGGACTAAGTTTTAAAGGACTGTACCTTACCAGAGTACTTTACCTGTGAGTTAAGTTCATGTATATGCTTGTAAATAAGCTCTAGAGATCTACAGCGCTTGAAGTTTGATCCGATGCACAAGAGGACAGATGGGTTACTCAAGGGATTAGCCCAAGTGAACGATAGTGATTATACACTTGTAATTTCCTGTACACAAAGCCGACAGTCTTTCACTTAGGTCACGAGAAGTGACTATGGATAAAATGCCTTGTCAGGGCACAAGAGCATCAGGCAGAGGTTCCAACCCTTAACTTCTTGATTGCAAGCCAAGTGATTGAACCACACTACACAGTGGTACTCTAACTAATATCATACTACTCCTACTGGGAGCAAGAGTGTGTTAAAGATACTATGTCCCTTTTGCAGCCAACATCAAATTCTGTAGAACTTTGTAGGAATTATGAATATGTCATGTATGTCCTATCTGTGAAATTTAAACGCTAGCAGTGTCCTATATTCAAATTATGCAAGGAAACCCGTTTACTTGCTAGACTTCACTGTCAGACACTATTGAGTGACTGACTGGCTTTTTTTCTTCTTTGGTAATAACATACATAAAATGAGCTGTAAAGGGTAGGCCTACATGAGCATTTGTCTACATTAATAACCCACCTCTTGTAATGGCCAAAATTAAACTGATTGAATCAGTACGACCATTCAGTGCAATGGTCTGAAAATCAGACTATAACTTACAAGACTTGGTAGCACTTAAGTCGATTTAACAACTAATAGTCGTTATTTTCACACTTAAAAACATTTTCAAGCCCTCTTTTTTTTAGGGAAGTTCTAAATTAGTACCGGTATTATCTTTCAAATGCCATTGGAATTTAACCTTTTCATTTTTGGGGCCTGCAAATTGGACATAGTACCTTTATTAAAGAGAGGTACTTACCAGGCGATCATGGGCCATGATCTGTACATTGTCTAGTGTTGTCTTGAGACGCTGTGCTATCTTGTGTCTTACACTCTGTAATGTTTCATTGCTGTGACCCTGCAATATAAAATGATTACATCATTGGTCATGTAATGTCAATAAATAAACATCGTGCAATTTGGACATATCTAGGAGAGCATATTTTACTAGTAATAGTATCTATAGTGTACTGTTTATTATACAGGTATGTCCTAAATGTCGCGTTCAAAGGCACACTGAAATTAACTATTGCAAACAAAGTGACAGCTACATGTTTAAATATTACAATTAAAGTCCATTGAATTCTCTGTAAAAAGCCTCTTAAAGATATTGGAATGGTGTTGAAAGCTAATGTGCTGAAAACACACATATCTCCTACATTGACGTTCACTGACTGAATTCTTGCATCAGGACCAATCTCCAAGATTAAGATGCAAAATGGGGGTCCCAGATTCTGAAAATCATAGTTCAAGTATTCAGAAAATGTTATTTTGGACAATAAAACAAATATAGGATTTTAAAATAGATATATTATCTTACCACTATGACAAACTCACTACGATGTGAGTCTGTACATGTGACATGCATTGTGATAGTATGACCCTGGAAGGATGCACCATGTGGAAGGATTGTGCGTGGTGATGTGAACTGATCTTCAACAGTCACAACGTAGGTCTCAGCTAGCTGCAGAAGTCTCTCGATTTCCAGCAGCTTACCCGCCCTGTCATGATGATATGAATCAAGAAATAAGAAAAGTATGAATTATGGAGCCTGTACGAGCCTTGTCTTGATGTACATATGTCTGAATGTTCAGAAATATTTCAGAGAATAACCATTTTATCATCTTAAAATTAGTACCTACATAGCTTTTTGTTAGCTTAAAGGAACCACTGTATTTCTTGCAATATTGTAGCTTGCTCAGCCAACCTTCGTGAAATTAATCAGCAGAATATTATTCAAAATAATAGTATGTGAACTGGTTTTCAAAAATCATTACATACGTCTTTGCTAAATGTAAAAGCCTCTAAATTCTAGAGGCTGACCTGCCCTGTCATAATAGAAAAATATGAATTACTCTGAATCATAGGACATGTCCTGAGGAAGAAAGATAAGGTTTTCACTGTCCAGAAGTATAATATACAACATCAAGATAAAGGTTCTTCAAGCAAACCAAGGCATTTTATGGGTCACATAAATATAATTTTTCTTACCTTGATGGACATGGTACAATGGCTGCCTCGGGCACGGATACTGCTGTCAACGTCTTAGTTGCCATAGCAACAGCCTCTGCCATGGCTGTACCTTTGACTGCCATGTACGCCAGCTCCAGACGTTTGTAACACTCTGAGATGAAATGCTTATGAAGATCAAGCACATCCTACATGGCAACAATCATAAAATTTGAAAATGAATTATTTTTTATAGGGAATATCATCAAGGAATTTACATGACAATATTTCATCATATAGCAAACTATGATCTACAAGATACCGATGCAAATTGTTGTCTAGGGAAACATTTTTCTATTAAGAAATAATGTATCAGCAAAAAACTAGATGGAATTTTGACTGCGCGCAGTCAAAAATGATGCCTCCGCCATAGAGCAACTTTACAAACCAAAACGGAAGCAATTTTTAAAATTCAAGTTTGATTGTAATCCATCTGTCGGTTTTAATAATAATGCATTCACAAGCTATTTATAGTCATACATAATGAGCCCCATGACCTTTGACCTGATGACCCTAAAATCTAATCAGTTAATTGGCTCTGCAAGATACATATATACATGTCTTGAGTTTGATAGTAATCTGTCTATTGGTTCTCATTATAATGCGATCACAAGCTATTTGTGCATACATAATGAGCCCTGTGACCTTTGACCTCGTGACCCCAAAATATAATCAGTTCATTGGCTCTGTTAGATACATACATGACCCAAGTTTGGCAGGAATCCATTGACCGGTTCTTGAGATAACGCGATCACGAGCTATTTTTGTAGACATGAGCCCTGTGACCTTCGACCTCGTGACCCCAAAATCCAATCAGTCCATTGGCTCTGTTAGATACATACATGACCCAAGTTTGGCACGAATCCATCGATCGGTTCTTGAGATAACGCGATCACAAGCTATTTTTGTATACATAATGAGCGCTGTGACCTTTGACCTCCGACCTTGTGACCCCAAAATCTAATCAGTTCATTGGCTCTGTTAGATACATATATGACCCAAGTTTGGCAGGAATCCATTGATCGATTCTTGAGATATTGCGATCACAAGCTATTTTTGAATACATAATGAGCCCTGTGACCTTTGACCTTCGACCTCGTGACCCCAAAATCTAATCAGTTCATTGGCTCTGCAAGATACATACATGATCCAAGTTTAGAGAGAATCCATCAATTGGTTCTTGAGATAACGCGATCACGAGAACGGGACGTACGGACGGACGGACGTACGGACGGACGTAACGTACGTACGGACGGACGGACGGACGGACAACCAGAAAACATAATGCCTCCGGCTACTTTGTAGCGGAGGCATAAAAACATGGATAGAAACTAAGCTCAAATCTTTCGAATAAATGCCAATACATATGGGATTATATTATCTGGTTTTGAACTTTTAAGATGGTGCCAATGCCTGGATTGTTGTGTTTATTTTCATTTTTAAGATGCCATACAGCAGAACATTCAAAATAAGCACAAGATGTAAAGAAAAGTTAAAAAAGCTTAACAATTGTTATCGATAACAAGTATTATGAAACAGGGCCCAGGTCTATTTTTAGGGCTCTGAATCAAATGTTTTAGAGCCAAGACACAATCGACCAACGATCTCTTACCTTTTTAAGTCTCTGAGCTAGATTGGTATAAGACATGCTCATGATCTGTCTGATAGCCATCTCAGCAATGGACTCGTTGGTAGACTCTAGAACCATCTTCCACATGAAATCAAGGCCAAACAGGTCCAGCTTCTCAACAATCTGAAAGAGTAAGTACCACCAGAGAGAAGAAATAAATGCAGTTTCATTTTGTCATCAAATGGGTTCAAACTAATGTGGATAATCAAAATCGGATATGAAGTATGGATGATCCTAATGATGAATCACATAACTGATATATATATAGAGGAGCTTGCTTAAAGAGAAGGTTGAGTTCTGGGGAGAGGTGAAAAATAATTTGTGAGTGTTTTCATTGTTATTGTGCAAGGGTGGAAGAACGTCAGAGAAAAAATGTTCCCTGAAAAGCATGGCTCTTTAAATGCCTTCATGAGGAACAAATTTTTTGTTTCCCTTGAAAATGGTTTCTCATTGAAACATGTACTATAGGACCTGTACATAAAGACCACCTGCCAATAAAGACCACTTTTCTTGTCTCTCTTGGGTGGTCTTTAAAGACAGGTTTCATTGTATATAGATGACATGTTTGTAATACAGTCAAACCTGCTTTAGTGACCACCTGTCTACAAAGACCATATTTTGTGTTTCCCGTGAAAATGGTTTCTCATTGAAACATGTACTATGGCATGACCTGTACATAAAGACCACTTATCTTGTTTCCCTTGGGTGGTCTCTAAAGACGAGTCTCGCTGTATATCACATGTTGGTGATACCGACCAATATGAAACAAACACAAAGAAATGATAGTTACCAGTCCTGTAGCACCCTTGCGTAGACTGTGATTATTTGTGTTGATGGATTCAAAGAACGCTCGTACACAGTCAAAGCCCATGGGTGAGAGGTGGGTTGATTCTAGTCTGAGTAGCTTATCCTTGAAGAGCTGCATCTGTGTCTCTGTCTCCAGGTCCGCTAGACCATGACGGAACCACTCATAGCATGTCTGATAGGAGAGGATGGGATCAATCAAGCACATACAAGTCACTTCTAATAATAATAATAATAATAATAATCTTGATATGTCTTGTTTACCCAGGGTAGCCTCATTAGTATACATACTGTTCTCCCCGAGGGCCCTGCAATCATATCATTACCCCGGCTTTAGCCGAGCTACCAATAAAAGTTGCTCAAGCATTCAAGGAATTTCTTCCTACCGGGCACCCATTTACCTCACCTGGGTGGAGAATGGCAAATGTAGATTAATGTCTTGCCAAAGGACATTCTGACACACCATTCTATCCTCTTGTGGTTTGGTTAGATAAGAGTTGGTCTTATGATCAGCCATTTAACTCTTCCTATCAAAGCTAATGTTTTGTCATCTCTGTACACCCTTGATCATCTTCAAAAACAGATAATCATATAGCTAAATGTATGATGTCCCAAATACAACTACCAAGGGATGCTCAAGGTACTTACAAAGTTCCACTGTTACCCTAGCTTTACCCAAGCTGTCCTGATGTTCTAGGAACATTCCAGGAATTTCTTCCTAAAGGTATCTCTGTATATCACCTGGCTGAGAGGCAAAACGTTACATTTCTACAAAATACAATGACAATTTAACCATGACAAGATAAAAAAGAGACATGGATCTCAATTCATGGGACAGTTTGACTATACTTACCTCTCTGTCTGCCTCACAAGCTTCTGGGTTCGCTACCAACGTATCCCAGATCTCCCTCGCTCGATGCCACTGGAGATAGAGGGCGCCCTCTTGTAGAATGAATGCAAGGAATTTCAGATGGATCTCAACATGCTGATAACAAAATGAAAGCATGTGAGAGACTATTGTAAAGAAATCTTGATGGAATGAAGGTAAATATAGTCCTGGTCGAGCTCACTGATTTGGTGAAAATGTTTTTTTATTAGTGCATGTAAGTGGTCTAATCCAAACCTAATAATCAGTTTTTTTCAATTCTTCAATGAGAGGACAACATAGGTTGGGTGTATGTTTCTACATTCCCCACATGTTAAATGGGGAACGGTAGGAAGGAATTCTTTTTATGCTGTGAGAAGCAATATCAGTAGCCTAGCAGTTCCAGGGTAATATTGGGGCGGCTTCAGCACCTTGCATGGGGAATACGTGCGCTTTGAAAATATCCAAAATTATAATTATTATTATTCATGATTTCCTGTTTTAGGATCAAAACAACAATTATCACCTCGATGTAGGTCAGGATATCGTTTCACGAAACCGCCGTAAATACAAGTTCACCGACATCCCATTGAAATGTGTGTTAATCGCAATACATGTGTTTCAATTGGATGTTGGTGAACATGTTCTTACAACGGTTTCGTGAAGCGCTGCCCTCGATACTAAGTTGGCAAATGAAGCCTTACCTCACAATGTGTGTACTTGCCATCCACTATAGTACTACCAGACAAGCCATCCTGCCCAGCTGCATTGATAGCCATCTTATGACACTTCATGAGACTCTGTGTGGTCAGCTTGATGATGTCATAAGTCTTGTTCAGCTCCTGAGGTAAACTCTGCCAAATACACACCACATGAAAGTAGGGTAATAATAACAATGATATTCTCGATCTATACAGCCCTTTGTTCAGCTCCTGGGGTAAACTGAGGTAAACTCTGCCAAATACACACCACACCAAAAATAGGGTAATAATAACAATGATATTCTGGATCTATGCTACATCTTATAAATCTTTGATGTATATGAGCTTAAAACAAAGCACTTCTAATACACTTTGTCCATTTGGGGACATAAGTCTTATTTTATCACTCTTTTAAAAGTTTACAGAAAAAGGATAAATTTAATTGACAAATATTCTGAATCTATATGGCACCTTATACATCTATGGTGTCTCCAAGTGCTTTCCAGATGCATTATTACCCTAGTCATCAGATTCAGGCTTGTCCATATACAATATACATATACAATATACATGTACACATATGCACCTTTTCCACTCCAAAAGGAGCATTCCAACCAGGTGCCTGTTTACAGACACTCTTATGCTAAACAAACAACATTGCCTTTTGCATCCTTCCAGAAACACATTTAATTGAGAGAAGCAATGCAAATAATATGTTTTCCTTAACGACATAAGAGCCAAGTTGATAGAATAAGATGAAGCTGCAAGAGCTTACAGTTCACTGCTTCTTATAAAATGAAAAATAAAACAAATAAATTACATACATGTATCAAAGGATACAGTATAATCAAGAGTACTTTGTACAAACAATAATTATACATTAAGAACTGATCCAAATGGCATACCTTATCAGTCTTGCTGTAGCTCTGTTTGGTGATACCCTTGGCTATCTGGTGAATCTGTCTCAGGGCTGGTACTACGAACTGACACTGTTAAGTAGAGGACACAAAAGTGTTGAGCTTAAAACAAAGGCACTTCTAGATTCCGTAAGAAATCACAATGATTTAAAACAAATTAAAGATTTCTCTTAAAAGGAAATGAAAATGTTGAGCTTAAAACAAAGGCTCTTCTGATACACTTTGTCCATAAAGGACATCAGTCTCATTTTATCAATCATTCAACACTTCATGAAAAAGGACGAATGTAATTGACAAATGATTTACTTCTCCAGTTTTAAGAAATTTAGAGGACAATACTGCAGCTTAATGCACCTTAAGGCATACTGAAAACATGATATTAAAATGGTATAAATATATGTTGTCATTATCATAAACCATATTTCTATGGAAAAGACAGACACCATTGAGTACTTTTCATCCAATACAGATGGTATCTTTTTTATCAAAAAGAATTGCCAAAGGATTTCAGCGCTTTCTGGAGCTTTCTTCTAAAAGTTCATGAAGACAAATTTCTAACAAATGAAAAACATTTTTACTCTCTTAATGTCCTCCGAATGATTTGGGACATATCTATTCTTGATCTGATCTTCTACAGCCAGAGAGTGACTAACGATGAATAGATGTTCAACAACAACTACAAATTTCTAAAAATGATATCGCTAGTGACATTCGTTTGTCTCGCAATGTACGGTCAACAAGAGATCTAAAAGATCACGACATTTCGCATGCCGCTGCTACACTTCCTCAGGTGATAAAATATATTGTAAGCATATTTTTTATCACCTGACGAAGTGTAGCAGCGGCATACGAAACGTTGTGATTTTTTAGATCCCTTGTTGACCATAAATTGCGAGACAAACGAATGTCACTAGCGATTTCATTTTCGATACTATATCCGCAATGAGTAATATATTTAGCAACTACAAATTTGTTTTCATTAAACTACAACAAAATTAATGTTCTTACCCTCTTGATATCTTCCACACACTTTGCAACGTATTTGTTCTTGATTTGCATTCCAACAGCTAGAGAGTCACTCAGGATAAAGAGGTGTTCCTCTAAGGCATGTTCCATGTGGTTCTTAGGAATGGCTGGTAAGTGGGCCAGGTCCCAGAGCAGTTCCAGGACCTTGCAGGTGGTTTTAGGACTCCTGGCATCTCGACCTATCCTACCGATCAGGCTCAAGAGCTTCTCCTGCACACGCTCGTTTTCATTCTGCCATGCCTGAGGGTGTAAATGGACAAATCTTCTTTCTTAAATCTAATCCATACTAGTTCATACCTGTGTGAGGATCTTACTTCAAAAGGTCGGATAAGGAACTTTAGAATAAACTTCCAAAAATCAAGAGATACTAATTCTTATATTAATTCTATGTAAACATTTTTCTCATATGCGTATGTTCACACTATGCTATGTTTTTACTTTCACTCATTTCCCTAATTCTAATGATAGTGAAAAAAAGCTGAGAACCATGGTGTATTACATCCTAACCAATGTACTGATATTGTTATCATTGTCGTTAATACAAGTTACAAAATGAATGGAGAAATATGCAATTATTTGGATCATCTTGACAATCGACAACTCAACAACTCAACAACTTTCAGCAACAGCTACAGAGCAGGGCATGTGTAAATGCAGTCTACATGCTGGATCGATTAAACCATGCACTATTTTTTTCAGTGTAGTCTATGGCTCAGATCATGAAGACACTGCACTGAAAGTGACAATGGTTTAGTCTGCAAACCAGTACATCCCACTAGATAGCGATAGTTTCGAAATTTCCTTTGATATCACTGACCTTTTGAATGAGATGGAAGAGGTGTTCCAGCTGCTCGCCACTGAACTTGACCGCTGCAGCTGCCATGATGGAATGGATGTTGTCCACTACGGTCAGTGGTTGGTCGTTCTAGATACATTCAAACACACACAGAGTATGAGCGTAAAAATTATACACATAGGATAAAGATGTACTGATGGCATCTCAGTATAGGTTGTACCTACAATCATGGTATGAACTGTAGTTAAAATCTTTCAACATGGACTCTCACAATAAATCATAAAATGCCATCTACTGAAATTGATGACATCAGCTTGGAGTCTATAGCAAAGTGTAGTATATAAAATTGAATTTTATCCAACTGCTAACAAGATATCCATGAAAATTTGCCTCACATTTTCATGCTTATTCTGTTCAATCGAATTTCGAATGAAAAACACAATAACTCTGTTGACCTTTTTAAGCATTACAATTTTTCTATTTGGTAAAAGATACAGAATCTATGAAACTGTGAAAATGAGGAAGTGTTTGCAGACCTCTGCATCAAGATTTACATAACCTCAAGATCATTATCATAATTAAACAGCAATGCCAATTTGATAATGATGTACTGACCTGCATCTTCCATATCTTGGTGAGATCTTCAATGGAGAGTTTTGGTCCTAGGAACTCAACGATGCCCTTCAGCTTGTCAGCATACTGGGACTGGTCTATATTACCTGTAAGAAATACAGACAAGATTGGTTTGAATGGACTAATCAGCATTGTGACATGGTCATGAAAGTAGCTCAACTGTTCATCTTTAGTCTAAAAATGACAGAGGAAGCATCCCTAAATGTTTGAAAATTAGGATCACATTATTGTACGATGAATATCAATGTTTATTTTCGCTAGAAAAATAAGTATTCTATTCATACCATGGTACAAATAATCTCTGATATTATATCATTCTGACTGAAGAGTATATTCAAAGGAGTTCCATATCAATGATATCGCTCATATAACCTTGTTTCCCAATCATTGTTTGAACCAATCTCTTAACATGTAATTTTCTGAGAATGTTTGTGAGAACATGCTACATTAAATAATAATAATAATAATAATAAAATTTTATATAGCGCATAACACATAACAAAGTATGTCCCTATGTGCTTAAAAAGAAAAGCAAAGAGAAATATACGGTACCAAGTTCCTCTTAATTGTTTACAACAATTGAAATAAATATGTTTTCAGGGTGGACTTAAACTTATTTTTGTGTCTATTGACTACTTCAAGCGATTCAAATGGTACATTTTGTAAAAGAAATGAAGATAGCTACGTCATTGTTGATGTGGTGTGCAATTTTATATACAGGTATCCCACCTTCGAGTGCTACTGATAGAACTTTATTCTCCACCAACCAGTCCAAGATGACCTCTTCCTCAATAGCATTCCGATTCCTGCTGGATATACTTGTATCCTCGATCATCTTGGTAATCTTTGGAATGGACAGGTAAACAAAGGTTAGCAGGGGGTGTTTCACAAAGATGCTAAGTTGAACTTATCTCTAAGTTGGACTTAACAATTATGGAAAGCTGTTCGCATGTATGAAAATATTTTGTAAAAGTTATTTTAAAAGACATGTAATGTTGATTCATATCATTCATATCTTCTATTATCAAGAAGATTTCATGTTCTTGATGTGGAATTTATAACAAATCTAAAATACTTGAATTTTTCGCTTTTGAATATATTTTATTTTAAGGCTACAAATGGCTCTCCATAATGATAAAGTCCAACTTAGAGTTAAGTTTGACTTAGGATCTTTGTGAAAGACCCCCCAGATAAAATAAACATTATCAATTCAACTTGGTCATACATTTTTTTATCTTTAACAGTGCATTGAAGAAAGAAAAAAAAAAAGTACACAAAGAAATTGAAATTGAGTCTTCCATAAATTTCTTGTTATATGATGACATACTTCTAAAATAAGGTAATAAATTAGTTTTTATAATAATTTTGAAAATCCTTATTAAGAATCAGTTTCTCTGTATCCCCTTCTGAGGTGAATCAATCAATCAGGAGTTTTTCTTTTCTTTTCTTCAGACAAATGTTCATCAGATTATTTATAATGTTAATACTATTTGAATGTTAATGTGGATAGATGCTGCTTATAAGTATCGGTTTGCATGGTGATTTATACAGTAGGCTTGCGGTTGCACAATGTAAGAGGGGGAAGATTGGGGAGTCCAGAGAATGAGTGAATAGAAATCTTTCTTGAGTTTATAGTTCTAAAGAAAACTATAATAGCACCGGTAGGAGAGGATGGGTGGTTGAGGTCCTATCGGCGCTATAGTTCTCTTTATAACTATAAACTCAAGAAAGGTTACCAACAGTTCATTTCAGGACTCCCTAATCCTCCCCTCTCACATGGTGCAACTGCAGGCCTACCGTATAAATGTGGATAGTGTTACAGAAACATTTAATCTCTTGGATACAGAACAAAATACACCTTTGATCTGTTTAAAGAATGCAAAGCAACATACCTCCTTGAGACTGTTCATCTTAGCATTGAAGTGAGGAGAGTTGAGCATACGCAGAGCCACGCTTAGTCTCAGGTCATCGACCTTCTTAACATCGTCTACCCAGAAGTGAAGGCAAAGACACTTCATGGTAGTCAGCAACTCAGAGATACTCCCGGTTTTCTGTCACGGAAGGATAGTAAGCATCATACAAGTTAGGATACAGCGAATAACAGTTTGAAGGCTATACAAAGTGTTGATACGATCATACATTTTGTAAAAAAATGTATAGTTTTGTTTGTTGGTATGACGCATGCTCCAGTGCCAACTGCTCTGGGTCATTTTTCTAAACTACTGTAACCAAATTACTTTATTAAAACCATAGACCAAGTGTTATACCCAACTAACCCTAAACCTAGCCCTAGACCTATCCTAAAATCCAATTGCAAACCTACTCCAAATCCTACAGATTAGTGGAGCAATGATTGGACCACAGTATATTCTTTCTTTCTCCACATATCTACTTTAAGACAACATCAATAACAACATTTCTCCAATAAGCTACGAAAGCTCACTGGAAACCTGTCCATACGCACAATTTTGATTCATTTAGTCATCTGGGCAATTTTCATATTTCAGCGATTTCAATGGTTGGGATGGTACTAATAATATACAACATTTGTTATGCGTCTTCGATCTAGTAAACTATTCTGAGGCGCAGAGGGATCCTGATTATTATGGTACTGACCTTTCTCTTGAGTTCATGTTCCTTGAGGTCCTGGACATACTTGAGGACCTGTTTCTCAACCTGACTCATGAAGGGGGCAAACTTGAGAGGGTTCAGGTACTCTCCACAGTAACCCAGCGGCTGCATCAATGTAGATAGAGTCTAGAGGAGAGAAAGAGAAAATGGGGAAAATTGACATGTGTAAGTGTTCAGGGAACATTACGAGGAGGCGTAATGGTTCATTAAAATGTAATAATCTAGAGGCTTCTTATTTTTCAAGTGTATATTTTTTGTTGTTGTTCTTTTCTTGTTGAAATGTAATTTGTTACGAATGTACAATCTGATGCTTTGTTCAATGTTCAAGGATAAAATGAGTTTGAATTGAATTGAATTGAATTAGCAGAGCAAACAAAGCCCTTAGGATAATACTTGAAGGTCCACTAGTGGATGATTATATACTTGCAGGGAAATGATAGAAATTGTCATAAAACAGCCATACAACTCAAGGAGAGTGAAAAATAACAAGTTAAAGATATATTAGCAATGTAGGTATAGAAGATGAAGAGAAGCATATCAGAATGAGAAAGAGAAAGAAAGAGAGACAAAGGGAGAAAAAGTTATAGAGAGAGAGAGAGAGAGGGGGGGGAGTGGTATGACAAGAAGGATGTATGAGATAAGAGAAGGAGAGTAAATGGGAAAGAGTGAGAAAGAGGGATAAAAAGAGGAAGAGAGAGAGAGAGAGAGAGGGGGGAGGGGGGGAGTAGTCTAAAAAGAAAAGGAGGTATGGAGAGATTTAATACAAAAATAGTGAGAAAGGAAGAAAGGGGAAGAAGGGAAAAGAGGGGAAACACAAGAACAAAAATTGAAAAACCGGTTTAATAAGGACAAGCACAGTCAAAAGAATCGAAATGGGAGAAGAGGCTTCATGCCTTAACATCCTATCACAAATGATCTGTTTATCATACACATATAATAACATCTTCAATGCTCTATTTTGATGCAAGGGAGTTTAAAGAGAGTATAAATCTTACCGGAGGATCCACGTCATCTAACGATTCCAGTACTCTGTCTCGAATCTGATCCATACCTCCATGGTAAGCAAACTAGGATTATAAAAAACAAAGAAGAAGAAAAAGTGAGAATATTTCATATAACAGGGAAGTGTAAAATGAATGCACCACTCTAGCACTAAGTCGATAACAAAACAAGGAAAAGAGTCTATAATTTAAAAAAAACAGCTCAGTGACTCAGTCTGTTTTGATTCATACAACATTGCAGAACTAAATGTTTCACTCTAATGCAAGTTAACATTTAATAATTCTTTAATCTTAAGTATGTTGAATATTAATTTAAATTATTTGTATGCGCCTTGAGCATCTCTAGAGATGGATATATTGCGCTTTATAAATATTGTTATTATTATTATTATTATTCAACTCTATTCAAACTAAAATAAGTGATAAATGGATTATGCAATAAACTCATAATATTGAATTCTTTAGTGGACTAAAAGCCATAATTCAGACCACATCACAAAGAAACCTATCAAGACTTACAGCATTGATCAGATTGACGAGCCATCCACAGGGGTCCTTGTACGTCTCGAAGGGCGGGCTTACGGCGAATGTGCTGTTCACACCAAACTTCTCTTCCCAGAATATATGGTCCCATTTCTTGGCCCTGTTCTTATAATGGAACTCTGTCTCTGGGTTTAAGGCCTGAAGGGATAGAGGCAAGCAACAGTATAAGTACCTTTCTTTACAATACCAGAAATTGAACTTGGATACATTTTTGTCGAATTCTCTGTTGATGGTTCTATATAGCATTGGTACAATTTCTCAAGAGCCTAATTTTCGCATGCAGTTCATGCAGTACCCTTACCTATTTTTAAACTCAATAATATTATGCGTCTGGATTAGCAGCTATCATTTATTAGTTTATCATAGAAATTGACAATTTTTAGTATTAAGGAATAGTTTCCCTCCATGAAACTTTTTTTCTTCATATTCAATACATTTGATTACAAAGGTTATCAAGTGCTTCTAATATGAAGAAGAACAGCTGTAAAATGTCAACAACTTACGCCTAAGAAATATTATCAAGGGCTCTTACGAATCAAATCCTTTTGAGCACAACAAGATCAGGATATCCATCCACTTATCTCATTTCCAATCAACACTTAAGTAACCAAGAAATACAACACATACCATGCCAAGGACCTCAAGAAGCTCTATGGGTACAGGTTTATATTTGAGTCTGACAGCCACTAGCTCAATGAAAAGCTGTAGCATGTTATAGATGCCTTCATGGATCTCAGCGCCCCATCGATGAACTGCCTTGGAAGTCATGAGCTTACGGAAAGCTTCAGGCATGCATCGGTTCACAAAACGCACGCAGTTCTCATCATTCTCCAGCAAACCTGGATAGAGAAAGTTTAAAAGTAATATTGTTAAACCAAGTGGAAATGGCTTGAGCTATATCTATCATGCTTTATAAAATAAGACATGGGTATGAACAGTTTCTCAACTTTTGTTGTTGTTATACAAAGCATTTGTCAAACATAAAGAATGATTGGAAATGCTGGCTTCTGTTCATACGTGCAACATGGCCATTTCAAACTTGCACTCCTACAACCATCTTGTAATCATAGTTTTGGAACTGGGATGTCCCATTTACATGTACGAAGCCAAAGTCAGTGCTGTTTTATCGGGCAAGACATGATTTCTCCATTTTTCAATCCCTTTCATATGGTACTGCTTGGTGCAGTCAGACATGTACCAAAACTGTGGGAGGAAAAACAATCAAAGCCATATTCAGATGTTCTTTATAAACACTTTTTCTCAAAGGGAACACTGTTCAGAGAAATCTATGACACTGGTCTTTAACTTTGTAGACATTAATCTTCAGGAAAATTGCTTTCTACTGCATCCTACATTCACTCCTTTTGGATTTAACAAAGCAGCATTTGTTTGTGTTGCTTTCAGACAAAAAGGGGGAAAATCTTCTTGTTCTTACAGTGACTAATTAGTATCAGAGTTTGTAATCTGTAAATTAAAGAAAGACAGACCTGCTGTTGGTTAAAGAAAGCCTGATTTCTTTAAGACAGGCTTCCTTCATTCTTACTGTGTTGTTGTCCATATATATGACAGACTAGGCCATGTTTTATTACACATTTCTCAATCAGGAAATGTGTAATGTGCTGGTCATGTGATATTAATGTTTACAGCATGAACCAAGCAATCTAATTACATACATGTAGAAACTTTATGTGATACCAAAATCATTTTTATAGAGACTTTTAACATTAGTATGGGGTATTTTCAAAGTCTGCCCTCAAAAATGTGAAACAGAAGGTAAAGGAATAAACTTGAACCATGAGTTTCATTTTTAATAGCTCCTGAACTACAAAATTAACTAAAATAACCATGTTTTTAAAAGCCTCATTAAAAAGTGCATCAATGTTATTGGTTCACAACAGTAAATATTTCCTCATAGAAGGTATGTTATTATGGTGCAAGTGTTTGAAGATTATACATCCTTCCAGCTTCCATGTTAATAACTCAAATAAAATAGTACACCAATCAATAATCACCTTCACTGGCTAATCTGGTGGCAGCGACCAAACATTTCCCCAGCGATTCCTCTTTCTTGTAAGGTATTGACCACTGGTCAGTGAAAACTCTGCCCTCCAGCTCGTAAAGATTTCCTTGAGGGAACTCCTTGGAAACTTCCACACTCTCCTCCTCTCTTGCTTCCACGCTGCTGGAGCTAGGATCTTCATCCTGCAAGATAGATGGTGTACAAATTAGCAATATAGAGGTGTCGTGGTCGAGTGGAAATGTCACCGGACTGTTGATCACAAGGTCGTTTGGCAAGACATTGATCTACATTTGCCACACTCAACCCGGGTGATGGGTAAATGGGTACCTGGCAGGAATTAATTCCTTGAGCGCCGTAATGGCAGCCGTGCAAAAGCCAGGGTAATAATCGGGAGCGCCAGGAGTGTCAAGTCTGACAGACATGAGCGCTATTACAAGAACCCACTATTGTTATTATTATTACATGTGTAGTCACAGAGGCGTAGCAAGAGTCCAACCATCATCATCATCATCACCTTAATCATCATCATCAATTCAACTCATCATCATCATCATCATCATCATCATCATCATCATCATCATCGTCATCATCATCATCATCTTCTTCATCATCTTCACATCATCATCATTCACCACCATCATTATCACTGTACCCACCGCCCCAACACCACCACCACAATCATCAGCATCATCACCATCATCGCCACAATCATCATCACCACCGCCACCACCACCACCAACACCACCATCATCACCACCACCACCATCGTCATCATTACCACCACCATCATCATAACCATTTTTACGATCACCTGTGCCTGGGAACCAAAAAGTAAACTGAATCAATAAACCCTCAGGTCTCTCCTTCTGGTATAACTGATTGGGATGTGCCCATGATGTGATGAACCAATACACCAGGGTTTCCCCTACCGACTCTTAAATATGAATAGTGCAGTGAGTTCTTAAGCCCTACTGTCCTACTTGTAGCTACTTGCTCCCTCTATATAGAAAACTTCCCTAATTGGTGCCTGTTGGTCCCCCATGATCCTCTTTTTCTTATGTTAGTTGAGAGCTGAGTTAATGAGATAGCCACCTGTCAGTGACCTCGCTGTGTGGTCTAATCCCTTCTGGCCAGTAGTGTTGACGGTCTTTAACATGCAAAGGTGGTTACTCTCCTCTATACAGTTACTCCATTTAACATCCTATCGAAGGGCATGTTTTCTACTCTAACCTAGCTTGCATCAATGGAACAGCAGAGGGGCACATTAACATACAACACAGGCTTCAGTCATCTGCCTGGGTTGGACTTAAACTGACAGGCAAATGCTTTAATTACTGAGCCACCTCGCTAAGCCTCTACTCATCAATTTCTTGTCATGGAGGGGAAATTAGCGTCGGAGAAGGGGGGTGGAGGGCACACCAGTCTCACTCTGAAAATGATATGTTATCTTATACCGAGGCCTCTGATTAGAGGAAGGGTGTGGAAGCCTGTCCTATTTCCTTTTGTACTTGTCCCTTTCCCATTTCTCTCTTTTATCCTGGACTTCTCCTTGTTTATGTGTCAGTTGATGGGAGAGGGGCAGCATGTTGATTGGAGAGGGCAGCATGTTGATGGGGGAGGGGCAGCATGTGCAGTCCAACTTACAGATTGAGAGATTGGAGATCAAGATCTGGTGACGATGGAAAATAATTTGTGAGCTTTCATTCTTTTTGTTGAATTCTTATACTGAAGGATATTATGGTACATGTTGCAATGCCTTATGAAAAGGGTTGCCTAGAAATGCCCTACTACTTTTTTGTAATATGCCCAGAGATAGTTTACACATCTTGGATGGTAGTCTGGAAGCTCACATAAGTTTTCTCTACAGTAGTTAATTACTTAATTGAGCACTAAAAGTCCTCCAAATTGGCATTCACTCATTTCAGTCAGTTGGTGCTCCATAATCAATATTCTTCAAAATATGTCTTAAATAAAAATTACAAGTATCCTACTATCCTTCCTTGTTTATTCAGATATATAGCAATTAAAAGTGACAGATTTTGTGAACTAACTTCTGATGCTTGGAACCTACTCAGGGAATAATTTTCCTGGTATCGCATCGCAATTTGCTATGCATTTTTGCATGACTGCTATACATAATATCTTTTGTGTAGCAGTTTTCTTCCATAGAAATGTACAGAATTTCACTTGAAATATTTATCCATCAGCTGAAATTGCTAATCAAAAAATTTGAGGAAAATTATTCCCTGCTACTCAATACAAGGATGCATTCAACAACAACTAAAACAATCACAAACCAAGTGTAGTTTTTACAAGGACAATACACATCTGACTCGTGTCTGACTTATTTTCCTGAAAAGTTTCATGCCAAATTTGTAGTTACAGTAAAAGAGTATGTTTATTTACACTATTATAGCAGCAAGACTGGAAAACTTTCAAATACAAAACTTTCAAATACAAAACTTTCAAATACAAAACCTTTAAATATAGATTTATCTTTCCTTATTTCCCAAAACTCTCAACAAGTTCTTTTACAGTGTACTCACCCATCTTGACTAGGATTTTAATGCAGTGTAAAAAGAATTACAGTGAGTTAAATGCAAACTCAGCATGCTCAGCATTGAAAATTTAAAAGAAATTCTTCATTTGATTTTTGTTTCTGCACCCCTTTCTTTGAATTTAGTCATTGGGGGCAGCCCTAGCCTAGGCCAAATTCATAGATTTCATATTTCAGTCAATGTATCTTTTGATGGGGTGACCTACATACATGTAAGCTACTGTAGGTTCGCTGAGATGTTTAAAAATATTAGGAAATGTGATATTCGATCTATGATTTCTCATATTCTACACAAATACATTTAATCAATTATAACCAAATGGACGCAAATTGGTGCGACAAGAAAAATGTTAATATCGCAAAAGAATTCCAGAGACAAAATTCATTGTCAGATCGGAATACACTGCAACTCAAGAAAACGTCATAATAAGAAACGAGACCTCAATTCGCACACAGGAGTTTACCGCAGATTCATCACTAAAAGCGATCAATCAATAAGATAATTGCATATTTGCAAGGTGAAATACCATACAAATCTCAAACAAAATTTCCAGACCCTTGGCGGTAATTTCATATTAATTCAGAACGGACGCAAAAGACTGTAAAATTTGGCAATCTTTTGTCATAATTTTCAATAGGTAAGTGAAACTGAACACCCTGCTATAAAAGTGAAGACTAACCATGCACAAGGCACAACTGATATACGGTAGAGTAACTTTAAAGGAGGGTGGAGAAGAAAAACAATGATGTCAGATTTGGATAAATTTTGCATAATATAAAGAAGAAAGTCTTATACATGAAATAAAGTAAGTATGAAAGCCAAACATTGTTATCCAGCCAAAAAATCTTCGTTTGAAATGACCGATTTGCAACTCTAAATTTTGTCCACTGTGCAATTCTTTTTTACATCCGGGACTTGTGCAACGTAATAGGGAAGACCCGCTTAATGGCATTGTGTCTTCCCTCTTACGTCACAGCCCTTAGGCCTTCACATTCTCAATTTGAGTCGCTCTTGGAGGCTTGTTTAAATGATTGTTTTTTAGTATCAGTGACAGTGGTGTTTTCAAATCATTAGGCCTAATTGAATCTTGTTTATGAAGTGTTAAACTGGCATAATATTCTAAATTTGTTGAATTTCATTCAATCATTGATTGTAATGTTTTGCTTCCCCTCCTCTAAAAAAAACAACTGTGATGTCTGATTCTGAATTTCTGATGAATCAAATCAGAACATTATTTTTAGAAATTGACCTGGCTTGAAATAATTTGAGAAACCCTTTAACTTAAGATTACAACAACAACAACAACTAAAAATACCTCCACTGGTTCAACAGCTTCGTCATAGGAAGGAGGGGGCGGGTCGGGTGCGAGACGGTTTTGCGGTCCAAATGTCCGCCGGAGAGTTCCCGGTGGCGGTGCTTCCTTCGTTTCCTCCTCCACTGTTTCATAACTCAGACCCGGTTGTTCCTGCGTGAGAATAGCCACTGCCTCGTTCACGTCGTTCTGTGCAAGGCGGAGTGCTTTCTTGATATCTGTAAGGTCTCCAAAACCCATATTTATGAGCATTTGGACGTTTTCTTCGCTAGGCTCCATTGTAACACTTCTAAGTTACAATCTCATCAACGGAATCTGTAATGTCGCTCGACTTTAAGACGAATAACAGTCTTAACCTATATTTGTGTGCCTTTTCATTATGATCAACTGTAGGTCGCCATCTTGAATGGGTTGGGTTCGATAAACTTTGGCGCGCTCGCGCATAACCTGCGAGCGCGCCGTGCGACTACGACATCATGTAGAACCAAGTGGAATCGCCTTTTCTGTGGCTGTGCATTTTCGTCTACTATGCTAGTACTCGTCGAAAGCACAATAAATCAGTAAAGTGGAACATTTTTTTTAATACAATTTTCTAACAAATGTAACCGACACCAGTGGCGTAGACAGGTTCGTACACCTGGGGGGATGACTCAGGGGCGGATCTAGCTTTTTGCTAAGGGGGGCGTTGACCAATAATGACGATGCGGAGCATCGTCCACGAGCCGCGAAGCGGCGAACCGATTTTTTGGGGGGTGTTTATTTGAATCCCGTAAGTGATGTTTTCCTGGCATCTATTAACACAATGGAGACCATAAAAAGCAGTGCATGATAACGTCTTTTTAAATCAAGTAACAGTTAAATACACAGTTATATCCAGAGTTATCATGTGTTTGGTTAAGTTACCAGATGAGTTGAATATCTTCTCACAATATTTGCACTTGAAAGGGTTTCTCTCCAGTGGCGTTCTTTTTTCTTTCTTTTTTTTTTTTTTTTTTTTTTTTCTTTTTTTTCCCTTTTTTTGTTGTTGGTTTTTTGGGCCGCCCAAGGGGGGGTTTAAACCCCTAACCCCCCCCCCCCCCAGTAGATCCGCGCCTGTTTAATCTTGTGGTTATCTTGTGGTTTCCAAACCCAAGATAACCACAAAATACTTGTAAGATTTTCTTTTCTTTACCGTCTGAATTGGCTTTCACCGTGTGAATGCGGCTAATAACAATAGACACAATTACAATAATGATGAGGATTATTATTATCATCATCACAATTATTATTATTATTAATATTATAATTGTTATCATTATTATTATTACTATTATTATCATCATTATGACTTATTAAGTAAGCAAATATCATTCCCAAAAACCTGGGGGGATGATTGTACATGCCATCCCCCCCACCTTGTGAGGTGGGGGGGATGCATCCCCCTCATCCCCCCCGTTGTCTACGCCCCTGACCGACACTACATCATTTAGCATCTAAAACCTCCCGATCAGAAAATTTTGTCGTCCTTTAAATTTCATCATCAAAGTTGTAGAGCAGAAGATGTCCTATAGCTCGCCAAGTTTATATCTTATGGCTGTGTAAATTGAAGAAGGAACCAGTAAACTACAAAAAGTAAAGCATTTTGAACGTTTTTTTTTCATAAAAATCTTCAAAAGAACCAAAAATTCCCTCAAAACTTCTTTTTTTATCACCTAATTCCAACGAAGTATGATTATGTGTGGAAATTATGAACATTGTGTCCATGGCCTCCCAACCAATATGTTATGCATAGCAGGTCAAAATACAAAATTATTATATGCACCGTAAAAATTATACTTTCTGTATTGAAAAAAAATGTATTTCTGATTGGATTACATCTCAACTTTAAAACTTGTTTGATTTATTCGAGGGGGGTAAACTTAATAAAGGGGAATATTTTCGAGAAAAAAGGCGAAATAAAACTCGAAAATGGTTTGATTTTGACCGATAGATAAACTTGTTAATGTTTTTTGTGGATGACCTGTGGTAGAGGCGGCGACCACCCTTCCTACGGGGAACAATGCCCCCACATTTTTTCAAGTACCACAAAATGCCCCTTTTTACTTCTGATAAGTGCCCCTCTTTTCTTTCTAAAAAATTGCCACTTTCCATGTCTGATAAATGCCCCTATTCAAATCCCCTTTTTCCTCCGTAGTAAAGCCCTTCCCCTTCTTATAAGTACCTTTTTTTTTCTTTTGCAATAAAGTCCCTTTCCCTTTTTATTATGAATATTCTTTTTTTACCTCTGACAAAATACTTTTTTTCTTTCTATGGCGCGGGCCCCTTTTCCTTTCTAACATTTGCCTATTTTTACTTATAATGAATGTCCCTTTTTTGGTATGGGAAATGCCCTTTTTGGTATGGGAAATGCCATATTTCACCTCGGTTAAATTCCCACTTAACTCGACACAAACCTCTTTTCTTTCATGATGTAATTTCCCCCTTGTTTACTTTTGTTTGGTGTCCCTTTTCCTTTCTATATAACTGCCCTTTGATAAATGATTGTTACCTGTTCTTAGTTGACCACTAGGTGTAATTAGTATACCGTACAGGCCCGTAACCAGAGTTTTCAATTGGGGGCTTCGTTTTTAAACGGCTAGGGGTCCAGGGGAAACGCCCTGGCGATAGTTAAGGGAGCAGAGCCCCCTGAAGCCCCTGGGTTTTCATTCTTTTTAAGACCCCAAAAAGTTTTTTTTTTCAGGCAAGTTGGTTCCAAAATTTGTTGAAAGACTCAATTGTTTTCTGCCCATTATTGTAGAGCGCTTAGAGACTTCTGATAAAGTAAGTGTTGGGCGCTATAATTATAAGCAAATATAATTATTATTATTAAAGCGCAAATAATTGTGAAATTCAGGTCTATTTTGAAAAAAAAAACAAAGTGCAATTTTATGCGAATCGTTTCGCGCCTTAATATACAACTGTTGAAATATTTATTTTTTCAATAAATTGGAAAGTTCAAACTAATCTCACTTCGAGGGCTGGGACCCATGTCCCACGTCAGCCTCATTCAAACATATAGGGCTTATATTATAGATACAACTAACCTCTCCCCTTCTAAGCTTGCTCACAATTGTAGGCAACTATATCATAAGGTGCAGCCAGGCGCGGATCCAGGGGGCCAAGCGGGCCTTGCCCCCCCCCCCCCCCCCGCAAAAAAGAAAGAGAGAGAGGGAGAGAGAAAAGAAGGGAAAGGGTTGAAAGAGGAGAGAAAGGGAAAAAAAGAAGAGGAAGAAGAAAAGAAAAGGGGGAAGAAGGATATCGGGGGAGCCGAAAGGACCTTGCCTCCCAGGCTGTTGTCCCCCCCCCCCCTCCCCACTTCAACAAAATAAGAGAGAAGGAAGGAAAAGGAAAGAAAAAAGGAAAAGAGGAGATAAAGGGGAGGAAACAAAGAGGAAGAAGAAAAGAAAAGAAGGGAGATATTGAGTTGGAATTTTCCCGCTAACAAGTTGTGGATCGGGGGGGGGGGGGGGGAAGCCCTTGTCTCTCTCAAGGAGGTCAGTTGCAATTTTCCCCGCCAACAAGGTGTAGATCGGCGGGAGCTGGGCCCACTGGCGTACTGATGGAGGGGGGGTTACAGTTGCCCCCCCCCAAAAAAAAAAAACAATAAAAATAAATAAATAAAAATAAATAAATAAATAAATAAATAAATAAAAAAATAATAATAATAATAATAATAAAATAAATTAATTAATTAATTAATTAATTAATTTAAAAAAAATAAAAATAAAAATAAAAAATAAAATGTGGTATATTTCTAATTCGATACCGGTGAATTACAAATGTTGCTGAAATAACAGAACTTTCAAGATTTTTCCTCAGTTTTTAGTAGATTATACTTTTGTATGCGTTTGTAGGAAAATGACAATTTCCTCATTTACAGTCAAGCAAGAAATGTGCTTATATAGAGGCCTACATGTCAGGGCCCGCGGAACGGCGGGGCTCAAGGGCCTCGAGCCCCCACCCCCTCCCCTCCCCCACTTTTTTGAAAAATGATATTAAAGAGAAATAGAATGTACAGTAAGAGAGAAAAAAAGAAAAAATAGTGACCTGCCAGTGTCACAAAATAATGATATATAGAACTTTGCTAATCTGACCGTGATTAAATGCCTCAAACCCTAAGCTTTCGGGGGCTCTAGGCCCCCTGGATCCTCATCTGAAGGTAATGTAATGCCTAAAACCCATGAGCTTTTGGGTGCTCCGCCCCCTGGACCCCACGCCAATAAGTGTCCTGCCAGTGTCACAAATAAGGTATTAAAAAATGCCCATCTGAACGTAATTAAATGCCTAAAACCCCTGAACTTCCGGTGGCTCTGCCCCCTGGACCCCATTTAGGGCCCTAAGGCGGACCCAATCTGACGGAAGTTTAATGCCTAAAACCCCTAAGCTTCTGGGGGCTCTTTCGTCTTCTTTGAGCATGGCTGATCGTCAACGAAACGGAGTTAAGTCTTTTGTCACATCTGTTTGTTGCTATGGCAGGCAACCAGTGAAAACAAATTCGTTCTATCAAATTATGGAAATACAAGCATTAATTTAAACAAACAGAACTTTGTTATTCCTGGCTCATTTTTCCTGATTGAGGTGTCATATGAAAGGTCAGAAAATGACCTTTCTAGAAATGTGATTTTTCTCTTTGAAATTCAGTTACCGCCCGCCAAATGACTTTTTGGTACCCTCTCTTCAAATTGTTTTTTATCACTCATGCATGAAATATGCAACATATGAGTTGCATCAAATGTAAGAGGAGGATCTAAGCTTTACAAATGTGTGTCATTTATTAATTATAATTATGATTAAGTTATGATAAAACTTCGATAATTCTCGGTTTCTTTTTTTCTGGGACGCACAGTATAGTACTTGCGTATGCGCACATGGTCATTTTCCTCGACGACATAAATATACGATTAATTTCGTCAACTTAGTCAGCATCGTAGCTCACCCTCGTACAAATTAGGGGTTCAATGGTTATTTGCTCACGAGGAGGGTGTTGATTTTTTTTTTATGGTGCTCCACCCCCCCCCTTGATTTCGACCCAGACCTACCAAGTCTCACGCCTATATATATGTATTTCTGTTAATTCATGTATAAAATTTTACATATTAAGATTAGTCATGTAATTTATTGTATAGTTGATTGTTTTAAAGCGCATCGAGAATTTATGAGTATGCGCTATATAAAAATTACTTTATTATTATTATTATTATAGCTGGCAGAAGCGGATCTAGAGGGGGGTTGGGGGGGGGGGGTTGTAACCCCCCCAAAAAAAATCCGGGGACCATTTTTTTTAATCTTATCTTTTTTTTTAAACTTGTAATTTTATTTTATTCTATTTCTATGTATTTATTTCATTTATTATTATTATTATTATTATTATTATATTATTATTATTATTATTATTATTATTATTATTAT